ATGTATTTTATTGTCTAAATGAAATATAAAGGATACAGTTAGTATGCTATTTTCGATATAGTGCTTGCAATGAGATCCTTATACGAGTAGTTAAGTATTACTATCGATACTTAAAGGCCGGCTTTACAATCTTGGAAACAATTGCGTTTTGCGCGATAGGATATCAATAGCTAGAAATATCCTTTATCATTTGGATAAGATAGCAAACAAATCGATCATATTATATTTCGAATAGAAATTATAGTACGTGTAGCAAGCGATATATATAGACAACTAGAATTCGCAGAACGTAATATGTAACTGCTGAAACTGAAAAGTTTAATGTAATTTAATTAGAGTTAGGTTCAAGGTGAAAAGTGTATTACTACTAATTAAAAACATTCGTATTGTTTTCTTTTACAGCCAAGGATTCGCCGATTTGAATTAAGCGTGCAGATTAATTTATACGCGATGTTAAATGAATGCCAATATCAGACTTGATTTCAGTTGTGCTATCATGAGTAAAAGGATTATACAGCTACTTAATCATTCTTGAAGGAATCAATCCTGTGAGAAATTGCATGCAAGGTAAGCAATCGAGCTAAGCTAGTAATTAGTAGTATGAGTAAGTGAATTAATTCTCTTGCGTTACCTTATATTTGGCAAGCAATTTTATAGTGGAAATAAAATGCTACCCAGAATTTTACACTAGTATTGCCACACCTGCCGATTTAGTATATACTGTAGTGTTTTCTACTGATATTATGCTCTATTTATGTCAAATTTTATTTGTGATAATGAAAGTGTTGATTGTAATAATTTGCATTTCGTCACCTAGAGATTTTTAACAGTCTGCGATCGTTCATTAAATATCAATAACACTAACGGATCAAGAAGTAGAAATTACAATACGAATAGTTTTACCCAACTTTAGACCAATTTGATGTTTTATAGGAATATCTGTTGACTTATTGAATACTTTTTGAGAGTTAGAATAGTCACTATTTGAAATGGTAGGGTATTAAGGCTCTAGAACTATCTAGGCATTGCTATTAGTAAAAAAGAAAATGATGTAACGACAAGCCGCGAGAAATAAGACCTGGGAGTAAGTACTGATCTATAACACCTACACGGTGACATTATCATTTTTTCCGTAAAGTTTATCCAATCTTATAAAGGATTTACAATAATCGGTAAAAGTTACGATTTTAAATTAAAAATAAACTTACCTTATCTTCAAAACTTGCTCTAATTCATCTTCGAAAACAAGCTTTTGCGATGGTGTTAACTTCTATTTCTTTTCGTTTAAATAATAAGTGCTGAATTGGTTATGATTTTAATTGCTATACAACATGGAGTTAAATATTTGACTAAGTAATATAATCTAACCTTAATGGCTGGAAAATAATAAAAAATGCTATTATTGCCCATTTATATAAGAATAAAGATAAAAATTGATGCCATTAGGAATTTATAACCGTTGTCAAATTGTGAAATAAAGATCTTACTGTAATTTACCATTGATACTATTCTACACCATTTATCCAATTGTTACAATAATCTATATATTTCCGTCATTTAGGAATGATTAATTACCTATCATCTAGGTTACAAATAAATAATTTAATATGAAAAAATTTACGAGAATCCTTGTTGAACGTAGTAATAAATTTATTAGAAACAGCTGTTCAATATAAATAATGGAAGAATTTGTATCAGTAGTAAGACAATTGGTTAAGGGATCGGTTAATAAGAAGAGAAATTAACCCAAGAGATAGATTAACATTTATTGTACAGGTAATCAAGTCTAATTATCATACTACAATTCCTCGTGGCATCAAAATAAGCAGTGAAAATAACAGACATTCGACTACGTAGTGTAATTTATTCTAATCTGTTTCTAAATACAACTAAGAATTTGACAGCTAGGAATGCTTTTTTTGGATAAATCAAAGTAATGTATCATTTTAAAAACCTTAATCACGCGTCGATGTTACCGTAATTATTGCACTATGGTCGATAAATTCAGCTAGTTTCCTATTTGTTCTTTAAGCGGTATCTAAAATGTGATGGGAACTTATAAATAGTTTTAGTATTGGATATTTATGAGCGGAATATAGATGGGCATATTATGTATGCATCTTCCGTTGTTTTCAAGTTCGCTTCCCAATAGTATTCAATAATTATATCTATAATTAATCAGTTTAGGTTAATTGGAAAGGTTGATAACCTACTGCATCAAAATAGTTATTCTAATCGCCATGTAGCTGACCTATTGTGCTATAAGTGTAGTTGGAATCAAACTTATTTACTCACCAAAATACAAAGTGAAAGTTTACTTTTATCAATTTTATTTCATTGTTCGGAGCTATTTAGTTTACTGTGTCCAGAAATAAGCTTCTAGATAAAGATTTCAAGAATGGCCGTCAACCAACCGAGATAGGATATCCGGTCCTGTCTTTGGATCGCGATGGGAATTGGCATAGGAGTGTTATAGAAATGACGCGTTTTTAAAGACAAGATAGTTTGATGGCTGAGTTAATATATTCATCGAATAAATTTAACATTTTACTTTATAAGTATATTGCCCATATTCCATTGTTTATTGACTCGGTATTCGGAAGATAAATGATAGACTGCATTAGGTATGCTATCCTACTCCTGTCTACGGTTTAGTTTCAAGCTATCCCAAGATATCGAAAATTAAACCCGAACTAAAATGATATTACTTGGAATAAAATCGATACTACTAAATGCAGAGTGTTCGATAGGCAATACTTGGCCAGTAGCGTAGAACTAGCAATGCATGATTTATTAGTCATCAGTAATATATTCATATTGGTTTTGTCTCCTTTGAGATCGATATTGCACAGGAGTTTAATCGACTGAACATAATCCTGTCTTAACTTCCTGACAATATACACCATCTCTAAGTAGAATTCATTATTGAAAAATGAGAATACGCTAATATTGCACGTTCATTATACGATCCAATTGTGCCGGTAGAGCCTGCATCGAATGCATGCTATCGCCTTTCCGACGGTAAATTGATTCAAGATGTACTAAAACACTAATCCCTGTCTCCACAGTTCACGACGTAGTCGAAAGGATCCTATTGCGATTAAAGATCTTGTCCACCTGGATACACCTTACTATCTACTAAATGACTCACAGATAAATCGAACATTGAGTGCTTCAAATAACTATTTGATATTTATTCTGTCAAATTAAACTCGATGGCATTTTCATCATCAATTCTTGCCTTCGTCCAGCGGATTGCAGAACACTGTGAAGAACCTTGATTTACGTTGTGCAATGCTGCTAGCTTGTCAATGATTGACTAAAACATACGATTCTGGCAGTCATACAATTAATGCCAATGTCAATGGCAAATGCTAGTAACAAGTCGAATAAATCAATTTTGCATTCACTACGGTAAACTATAGCTGGAAATAATCCAATATTGCCGGAAGCCTCTACACTATCCATCTCCTCTATGTTCACAATGACGTAAAGGGTTCAAATCAATATTCTACTTCGTCAACAAGTATACAAAGTATGACAAGCTGTCAGTCCATTAGTATATGTATATATATGTTATATCATGGACCTTTAGAACTACGTAGTTCTAGAATTCCATGCTTATTTACAGTTTATACTCGTAATTGTTAGGGTTAGCCATATTTCTTGGCTAAAGATTGTATCATGTAGCGTATTGGTTTCTGGTCCAAAATGAGTATACATTACCAAACAGTATCTAGCGATACAAGTAAATGTATCATTCCACTCATGTCTACAAGTAAGCAGTTATTCCTGAGGTAAATGTCGAATTTTTCAGGCATATCTGAATGCATTAATGATTCCAATTGACGACTTTACACCAGATTATAATCTCTAGGTATAGTGTTCAACAATAATTCTTATTGTAAATGCAAAGATAAACCATCTTACTCTTTCTAAAATTGCCGGTAACTTACAGCAAAGTGTTGTCATTGGTGTTTAGTCGCCATTTTTACCCCACCTTAGAGCCAATCTCAACACTTTAGAGACGAAGTATTCTATACTGTAAAGAATAAATTTGACTATTGATAGATCTTACAACAAAAAGAATATTAAATAATCTGTTTAGACACACTATTCTTGTTTAAAGTAACCAGTTATCAACATTTTTGGACATAGCTATGCGGGTGAACATTTCACTAAGAATTGCCATTTTGAAAGCTCGCCTCGATCGCTACCAAATGCTATAACGCTAGGTATTGTTTGGTAATGTATAAGGGTTTTGACCAGCCTTGCACATTGATTGAACCACAGATGAACAGACGTACAGACGCTTCTACATCCATCATACGCCATTGGCATTTCTCTATCGAAGTTTCTAGACAAGCATTGCAGAAAGCTGCGAAAACGGATTGAACGTAATATTTCCTTGGTAGCACTTGCAGGCTGAAAGTCTCCGATCAGTACTGCATGAAATAGAAGCTAATTGAGTCTAATGAATGTGAAGATTATCCTGTATACAACACTAAAGTTACTATTAAGTTAAGAAATCGGCGAAAATTAGCAATCTCAAGGTTTGCAAAAAGATGAATAAGATCTGGTCATCAAGAACACATTATGGCGTGAGCAGGCTTGCAAAGAGTCTGACGATGACATGGAGATGCTATCAAAGTACAGATGTTTACCATACTTTGCTGGAAAGAGGGTTAATTGCTAACTCCACTAGGTATAGTTTGCTGCATAGATGAGCTTACAGGAGGTTAACGCCAGTTTACCATACGTTTACTATCATTTCAGGTTATCACTTAAATTGTTCAGTTTTAATCGAGCTTATACATGTCTGAGTAGAGTGCACGATATCATAAACAGACTCTTTATATAATACTAGCGGATACTGCGTATGATTTACAACCTTGTGCATAAAATCTTCACCTTGTACAGTAGATGGATTCTTCTTCTTGGCTAAAATTCTTCTAAAATACCTGCTTTTCACGTACGTTAGTTATTTGCAGGAGCACCTGCAAAGTCCGGATAGGTCTGCATATGCTGGAATAGACCCTACGGCTGAAAGTTTACATGTTGGTAATCTAGTAACGATAATGACTTTACTGCATCTACGTAGAGCTGGACATATCCCATATTTCGTTGTAAGTGTTGTAATTTAAACGGAAGAATAAATATGTAAAAGATGCAGATTGTGGTGTATCTATGCATTTAAATTGACGTCTAGCATTCGCTCTAGATTGGAGGTTCAACTGGTCTCATTGGTGATCCCAGCGGTAGATTAAAGGAACGCGATCCGTTGTCGATAAATACCGTAACACATAATGTACAAGAAATTCAATGTCAGATTTCAGATTTACTCCATAATGATTTTAATATGTGGTCGGATAAGGATCAATTATTATTTAAACAATCCAGGTATATGTTGTGCATTTTACAATACCGATCGGATAATTATGCATGAAGATACGCATATAATATTGACTTTCTTTCACACGCGATATATTGAAGGAGGTTTTTTTTATACTCGTAGAAATTTCGGTGATGTTATTTTAAATAATGCTACATGGTACGAAAACTTTAATATTGTCAATTTTTTATCATCTGTTGGACGACACTTTCGGATGGGAGCTATGTTATCCAGGGATAGGTAAGATGGCTAATATGACTGATTATAATGTATCATGGATCGGTTAATGTAATGTTAATTCTCAATAACAATCTTTTTTATTATTATTATTATCAGTGTTAAGCAAAGATTGAATAGCCCGGAAGGCATGTGTTTAACTGAATTTTTTTATCAAGTATTCCAAGCTTACGACTTTCAGAGGATGTGTGCCGAGCGCAATTGTCACATTCAAGTTAGACTAAATAAACTAAATTAATAGTCTCCAAAGATTTTCAAAATTTAACTGTGAATCGAAAGCTGTTTACTTACCTTATCGATCTTGCAGGTGGGAGGAAGTGATCAATGGGGTAATATTGTAGCTGGTTGTGAATTTATCCACAAAGTTGATGGAAAACGAGTTCATGGTATGAATTTTAGCTCATCATTTATTTTATTTCTTGCCAAATCATTTCGGATTAATAAAATGCAAAATCATAAGGTCTTTCTTGTACAAAACCTGGAAACGCAACTAAGTTTATGTAATTATGTTACGACTAGGCCTAACTGTCCCTCTCTTGACAAATGCTAGCGGAGAGAAATTAGGAAAAAGTCTTGGCAATGCCATTTGGTTATCACGTGCTAAAACGTCACTTTATGAATTCTATCAGGTTTGCTAACACTTCAAGGCCCAAGTTTCGCGATTGTAAGTCTATTTATACTGCCTAAGAATGAGATCTTCTTGCTCTAGTATTTTATGAGAACGGAAGATGCAGACGTGGAAAAGTTCTTAAAAATTTTTACCTTTATACCGGTCAACGACATTCGCAACATTGTAGCTAGACACTTGGTATGATATCAATCACGAACACTATTATATACAAAACTTTTTAACGAAACTTAAACAGGTGTAAAGTAACGATATCGTTTTGTTGATATGGAAAACAGGAGAAACCTGAAGAACGATATGGCACAAAAATATTAGCAAATGAAGTTGCCAGACTTGTCCATGGCGGTAATAAGCATACTATATTAAGATTCTTGTAAAGAATAAATGATTTCAACCTTATCTGATGCTTCATAACAAGAATGCTTATTCCTTTAGAGGACTGTATGCAGGAAGCTTGTGATGCTACAGAGGTTCTGTACGGAAATCCCAATAATCTAAATAACAAATCCAGTTAGTTCTATTTCACTTCATTTTTATGTTTACGGTTTTATTTAAGTTATTACTATTTTTATCTTAGTCTTTATATTTTTATCGATTTTCTAGCAAATAAACTACAGCAGATTCTACGTGATGTACCGAATATTCAACTTAAATGGGATAAGTCACGAAACATGGCCGAACTAGCATTGAATTGTGGTGCTGTTCCATCTTTCAGTAAGAGATTAATTCGTTCTCGTGTGACATTTAAGAATCATGTTATATACGTATACTTGTGATGATATAAAAATCAAGACTTTGAGATTTTTTGAAATGAAAGATTTATTAAAATAAGCGATAGGCTCTTACCTAGACTGAAACTGCTACGTCTCTCTTATTAGCCGAACACAGCTATAGAAAAGAGTTTCTAAAAAATTCTCTAAAGTTATTTGTGTATTTACTCTAGAATCTGCATAGCATTATTCTACCCGGTTTTCAAATACAGGGGTTACAATTGACTGACTATAATAGACCTATTACGTATAAGCATCCGTACTCCAACAGAGTATCCTCATTCACCGAGGTTCATAGCCTACGGCACGTCGTATTAAATGTAGCTTACAATCTAACTCTTAGCTACACCATAGTTATACTGAGAGAAATTAATCGAAATGTTGATGTTGTCAGTTGTCCAAGCATTACTGTAGATTCCGACCCAATTCGTATGATCTACTAAGCTCGAATATTAGTTTGTAAGTGATACCAACGTTTTGATCAACAGAGCAAGACCCCTGTACGATAATGATTGTAGTTCATTAGATTATTTTGCATCATTTTTCAACGAATTAATGTATGGATTATAGTAATAACATATATGTATCTATGGTCTGATATGTATTGCCTCTTTTAACTAAAGATCAAGGTCGAAAATTAATAGAAAGCGGCGGTTTTTACGTTAACGATACGAAAATTACGGATTATAAAGCCAAAGTAGAAAGTGATATCCGGAGATTAGATGGCAGGATCACAGTGGTCAGGACAGGTATTGCATACATGTTTGATCTTATATACGTATACGAGTTGTGTTAAACTGTGTTAAGAGGTTGTTTTTTATTGCAGGAAAGAAAAACTATCGGCTTATTTATTGGGCCGACTAAATGAATGATTTATGATTATACATGGTTACTGGATTAAATTAAATTTTTCACATATAACATTAATGTACTGTATTATATATGAATGAATCTTTTTCATTACTGAATAATAATAATAATTATTATTATACACGTTTACCAGCGTTAAATTTTTTGCGTTTACTGCTAATGTATCAAACAAGTATGAATCTTTAGATGGTAATAATAGCACTATCATTTAAATGAGCTAAACAATCAGATTAAGCACGGATCTTCAAAACCTGCTTTTAGAAAAACTTTGAGTTCCGCACATGAGTTACTAATGGTACTTTCAATAGGAGGTAGTGATGGAGAAACAATCAATACGCAAAGTACGGTCTATAAATATATAGTGCAGATACTTTTTTGTTACCGGCGAAGCATTTTACAAGACTGAAATAGGCTATTCCAGAGATTTTATAACAGATACAACTATTGCAGTCAAATTATCAAGCATACCTTAATGCATGTTAATGATCTATAGAGCTTGCAAAGTAAAGAACACCGCTTTAATAAATTTGGCCTATACACAATACATTTATACAATATAATACAACATCACAATCATCAATGCATACAAATTCGGTAGTACCCTATTTCGCTGTTTATATTAAGCAATAAAATGGTGCAGCAAAAGACGAGCAGATATCGAAAAGCAAAGCACTGTACAGCACTTCAAGACTCAACTTATAAAATTGTCGAATTGATAAATATTCAAGTCCTAATACCTTACATATTACAGAAAAATTCCGTAGCATAAATTAGATCACATTCCTAGCATTACTAAAGGATATTGCTGGACGGATTACAATCGACTATTATACATGCACATTTTGGATAGAAAAAAGATGAATAGATAGTTTGTCTAAATTCAATCCACTGCGCTAAATTATATTCATTTTCAGCACAATAACAAAAATTTTATCAAACAATAATTAAATCGTACAGGCGAGAGATCATGAATATTATCGTAATTTTGTGTTATAGAATAACATTGCTAAAGCAGTTAAATTTCTTACAAATAAGAAAAGCACATTTTATATATAAGCTTTTTAACTAAGGTGTATTAGACCTGTTATCAAAAAAACTATTTCCTAGTTGCACCGCAAAGTTGAAATTTACAATATAGGAGTATATTATTCTAGAAATGGCATATGCCCTTTACAGTCTAAAGTTTGATTCTGATCATGTGGTAATGAGCCATTGCTCGAAAACGAAATTTTTAGCTTATTATTACATCTGGCGTCAATTTCCGATATTGGAATGAAGCCTGCCCTACTATCTTTGTTTGAAAGGTCATCGAAGTTGTCAGTTGAAAAAGCGTTAAACTGGTGTCCATTGTCTATATCTAGCTGCCGTCCTTTACAGCCTTCGTTGTAATAAAATTCCGGCGAAGTTAACGGTCTAGATAGCAGTTCATAATTTTCTTCAAATAATGCATCAGCATTACAAGCATCTGTCTGTACAAAATCATTCCCTGTTAATCTCTCGTTCATGTTACTCTCTGCAATATCAACTGCACCGTCGAATTTAGGCTTTGCTTCCGATATGATGGCTCCATCGCCAAATTGATCAGTATATAAAGTCTCAATTTCATTGTTAAATGGAGACAATGGTGCAGTTTCACATAATTTCCTATCATTTTCAGCGTATAATGATGTATCCGAAATGTCATTGGAACACTCGCTAAATGACATGGAACTTTCACTTGACGACATATGGATAGTACTATCAACATCGTCATCAAAGCTTAATGTCTGAAGGCATTTTGATTTGTCAATTTGTTGACAGCTCGTATCTTCCATACTTTCGTTTTCAATAAATGACGATAAATCGCTTACGAGTAGGATTTTTGCGATTACTTCCAGGCTAGGTATCTATTGTTTTCATAAATTGTAAAGTATATCAATAAAGATAACAGTTGCCATTAAATAGATATAAAGAATAAATTCAATTACGGTTGCTAAGTCTATCTTACGTCTGTTTCGGCTACATTATACTTATTGGGACCGCTATACCTACAATAAAAATAAATTATCTCCGTCATAAGCTAATAAAATAATCAGACAAGCGGACGATTAAAATCGAAGTTGTGTACAGACTATTTACCTATTATGTACAGATTTAACTTCCGAATTATAATAATCTTTAGGAGGTTTTTCAGCTAAACTATAAAATTAGAGAATGCAAAGTTTATCCCATAATCAGTACTATGCGAACTTTTTTAGTAAGATAAGAATAGTTGAATAAGCAATTTAAGATACCATTTTTTATACAGATGCAAAACGCATGAAGAGAGATCTTCGAGGCTTAATCCTGTATAACTTTTTAACTCTTCAGTCCATGGTAATTCTATCAACATATAATTTTACTATTTTAGAACTAAGAAAATTGTGCTAACCACATCAAATCATCGACATACCATTTCCCATAATAAGCACTCTGGCAAGAAGTAACGAAGCAGCGGCCTTAACAGCTGATTTGTATCTATAAAAGAAATGTAACCAATGGCAAATAATGAGGTCTAAAAGATGAATACTGTCTACTTTACTCTGAAATTAGCTTTTGTATACTGTATCAATGGTAAAAATATAACAAAAGTCAAACCTGCTATTCTCTAAGAAGAGCCAACTGAGTTCTAGTATGAAGCTAGCTAAATATGTACATTTCTGGCTAACTTCTGAAATCGTACAAAAAATCTTCAAGTAATCGAACGCACTTGGGGTCTATTTTATAAAAGCGATAACATTACGTTAAAAGCATTTTCTGAGCAGAATCCAGACATTAGCTATATTACTAAATGAACTTACGCGAATTTCTCCGTTGACAGCAGCAAAAACTTCTCCAATCATTCTAAAATGAAGAGCATATAATCGATTGAGTACAACGCTATCTAAGTGCCAATGTTATCTGAATTATTAATTTACCATACCTAACTACTTCATCATATTTATAAGTATTATCCGTTAACCATGCTGCTTCACGAATGGTCATAATATCTACACAGTGATATCTTAACATGATTGCACAAAACGGTTTTATTAGATTTTTATCCAAATTGAACGAAATCATTAATACCTTAACCAACCTTGAGGCTATAACCATACAGGAAATACCTAGTAACTGCAAGTTACTTCTCGGTATAGGATTGATTTCAAGATAGCGATCAACTAAGTCAATTGCATTACAGAGCATTTCACTAGAAAATTCCTAAAATAATGAAAAGTAAATTATATTCGAATCAGATGTATAGTACGAGTATAGCAAAGCTGAATGATTATAACAACGTGTGCAGATAAAATGATTAATTCGCTTAATTACCTTCATTTCAGCTACTTCAACAAGCCAATCTATAAGTATATACCTATATAATTAAAGCGTAGTATGTTAATTTAATTATATTTGTACGCCTTTATAAATATATTAATCAAGTTTCTGAAATTATGATGTGTGCGTATGTAAAATAAGTTGATATACCTCATTCTATCGTTCAATTCCAATTGAATTCTATTAACTAATTTTATGTTAATATTTCGACAGCTTTCTACCATCTAATCAAAAACAGTTATTTTGTAAAAATATAAGTGCTACTTTGAGAAGACAACTTCAGTAAGTGTAAGGCTAACCTTTCGAACGTAAGCAGTCGCTTGATTTCGATTAACGCCAGTAAATTTTTTTTTAGCGTATATCAAACATAACTCCAACTGTAACCATACATGTACATAGAACATAGAAGGCACGTTCATTTTTGATATTTTAACGGTTATTATCGGAAACAAAGAGAACGAAGAAGTAAAGATATTAATATATATGCTAATATCAAAATTCAATCTTAAACAAGCGCCAAAATATTACTTTTGTAATTTTAAGAGTATTATACCTGAGCTTCCAGACATCCCGTGTTTGCAATTTCACGTATGCGTCTGGCAGCTTCAATATAATAGCCAGGATCGATCACCTGTTAAATTTTCATAAATGAGTCGATAAATACATATACCTAAAAACAGATCTTTAAACCTTTTTATAATTTTTCTAGATGAATACTTCATGCAAGTAACTAACTATACGAATGAAATTTAGAAATTACGAACGTTATAACAGTAGTACCTTTTCCCGATCTTTCGTTTTCCAAAGTTCCAGAGAGGCCTCCGGACAACCTTTTTCGGCGGCAATAGCGAATAATTCCACAATTTTAGCTTTATCTGCCCCCTTTTACAGAAAAATAAGTTTTGCCTTTCAGCATAGTATGTATAATATAACATTCACTTATAGATTGTAGACTATTTGTTAAAATAGAAGCAGTTTAAATAATAAACTACGTAGGAGTCATGGTTTTAAGTCATTTTTAAGTAATATCGAACTTAAGCTATAATTTTAATGAAGAACAACATACTTCTTGTAAACTGTATGTTTTAGCAACATCATAATACAAGGAATTGGTTACGCCCTGTCAGGAAATGAGGTTAAAAAGATGATTTAAGTGAAAATAGTTAGAATATAATAATCGGCTATTGCTTATTCTGACAACTTTACTAATTATTAGCATCAGTATTGCAAAGTAGTTTATTATATCGCTATAGTTTTAAGTGCTACACGTACATCGATTTGGCAGTATTCGTTAATTTCGGTGAAGACACATTCCTTGATACAGTTGCCATTTGCAGTAGGAGCCCAGGGTGGTCTGATAAACAACCAAATGATCGGACCAATACCCTTACATTTTTCTTCGAGCATCCAAAAATACTCTGCAGCTCGGCTTGCATTGATAATGCCTTCATCAGGTACTAATTTTTTTCCAAAAATAAAATACAAATAATCAGGGGCTATAGTCCTTAAATACTCTTTTAAATTGATTAAATGATATCACTTTCGCGTTACGTTATGGTCTATGGAATCACACAACAAATTTCAAAAATCAACAAAAACTTGATGTGTACTTGGAAAGTGATTTAATCGCAGCTGAAATAACAATCGTTATCAAATCTTCCAAGTTAGACTGAAAATTATGGCAATCGTGTAGGTCAAGAATAAATGTATCATTATTCAGATAATCTTTTTACAACAGGTAAGACAATTAATTTAATATCAGTTTAGTTTTTATCAACTGTACAGGTACCGAATGATGTTACTTATTGAATAAGTTTTAGTTTTAATATTGAGACTTACACCCCTCGCTATATAAATAAGCAATGGCCAGTTTCACTAAAGCCTGGATATTGCCAACTTGAGCAGCCCTTTACAGGTAGAAACAAAATTTAATATAATGAGGATTGATATAAATATAAGAAAATTCTATTGGTGTGAATGGTGTATAAACTTTCATACCGTTTCATAGCCAGTAGATTGTCAACTGATGGCCAGACACCATGAAAGTTTGCACATCTCCATAGACTTGGACAGTTACTGATGACGTCGTTAAAACGTGTGCAAACCTACCAAAATTTCAATCAAATCAAATAATACAGTATATTAATTACCTCAATAAATACGTCTATACTGTGTTTAATAGTCCAATTTGAATGAAACATCTTACCCGTCGTAATTTAGCTAAATCGCGAATAGATAGATTTTGAAATAGGATAACCAGTAGCTCTTCAGGTAAATTTAGGATATGGCAAATTCGGCGACGTTTGAAGGTAGCGCGACCAATTCTTTTTTTGTCTACATCGTCAATGAAATGGAACAGGAACGGGCATGATTTATGAGTCAGTTAAGTGTAGTTAGTGAATAAATCATTGTTTAGTACTGATTGGCGCGATCATACAGAACGGCAACCTGGCAGTTTAGCCCTTTTTACCTCTATGGGTAGCCCATGTTGAGTAAACTACTGGATGGTGATGTAATTGACTGTGCTGTCCTATACGATACAGTAGTGTCGAAGAGTAGGTGGGACGAAAAAGGAGGCGTACAGTATATTGTACTGTACTGTACCTACCGTACATGATACTGTACACTGTAGTGCTGGACTGACTGTGTATAGTACAGTATGCACTTGTACAGTACTAAAAATGCAAACGGATACTGCAGTACTGTCAGTACTGTATATTGAATTAATATTTTAATTAATTAATTCATTTCTTTACCATAGGTAAATAATACCATATTACAGTAGTGAAGGTTTAGGGAGCTCATCCGATTAACAGACAAACATGAATTTCATTACGAACCAGACAAGTTTTCCGCTCAAATATTCAAACCATAGTACACTATTATCTAATACACTATATAACAAAATCTGTAAAAGTGATGATATACCACTAAATATTGCAAGGAAGTGACGCAGGCTAGGCTTGATTAAAAAGCAGTCAATATACTAAAATGGACAGTACAAGAAATGGGGGGGGGGGGGGAGAGTGAAATACTGCGCTTTAGACTGCAGGAGCGGTAATGCAAAGCTAGCAACAAATTAGCAAATCAGCAAGTTTTTCAGTGCGGTAAACATTGGCCTTGAAAAGGATTTGTTACAAAAAGCAAAGCAAGGCTAGTTGTACTGCTAGCTCAATGATTTGACTGCACTCATAGGAATAATTCACTACAGAACAAATTTTTTCCCTTCATACAAATACAGTGCTATATGTCTTTATGTCGATGCAATGCTTTACTGTAAAACTAACGTTAAGACATTAGTAGACTAGCAATCACTTTTCGAAATTGCATGAATCAATGGACGAGGTGGTATATACGGTAGATACTAGTGTAGGATACACAGGTGTTGTCATTTTTAAATTATTTCTGCTTTAATGTGACATTTCCTTAAAACCTAGTTTTGTTAGCAGCCTTCTATACTGTACTCGGTACGATAACTTATTTTAATATAATTAATGAATACGGTTGTGGAGTTCTCGCAACTACCTTGCATTAAATAATATATCAACGTTTCTCTACGCCTTGCTACAATTTTATCTTACAGTAGATTTACAGTTCATTATAATAGCGATGTATAAAATAAAATATATATGATTCTACTGTCATTACGAGCCACGGTTTTGTTTCCGTAGTACACGTTTAATCATGTATGAACTATGAATGGATTCTGCTCACTTGTCTCCTATCAGACTTAGGGTGAGCGTTAGGTACAGTAAAGCCGTTTAGCAAAAATTTCCCCCAAAAATGTTTTTTATAAAAAAGTAGATTTAATGTAAAATAAATCGTCAATCGACACTCGTTATTATCAGTTTAATATTGTACTTACTTTCATTAGCCATGAGCGGAGAATAATTTCTATGAAATGATATACTAAAGCAGTCGAGATTCAAGTCTAGCAGTTAACGGATAAAAAGGTTACAACAATTTCTTCTTGATCTTATCACTGTATTTATCCTACTACAACACTGTAATGAGTTACAACAACTACTTTGAATGTAGTCTACCAATTGATATCCACTCATCATGCTACTTACTGGATGTTGTGCCTTGGTAATAATATTTGCAATTTGAAAATACGCCAAAGTTTTGAAATAGAAGCACGTTGAGGCAAAACGACTGTTCTAACCGATATCCAGAGTTGACGTCCTGTAGTAGTCAGTACGTAATAGAATAGAACTAGTAATCACTACCGTTTCAATTGAATAATAAGAGATTAATTTAAAATAAGTGTATAAGATTTGAGCTTGATCGACCCAATGTGTTGTAAAGTGCGCTAGCTAGTAAGCACCAAAGTCTAATGGCGAACTTTTACTTTAAATGACAGTTTAATTCTAGCTACTAAAAGTGTATACAAGATATGTACAAACTTGTACAGTAGGGTAGTTTACAAATGAACTCTAGACAATAAGCTGCTAGACGTATATGACAGTCTATATGGAACATTGGCTTACCGTAACTACGATGTATGTTCAGTACTGAAGTTTGAGAGTAGTCAGTTTTGCAACTTGTCAATGCCAGTTTTAAACTTCATTGAAATGGCATACATGCGCACCATCCTCTACTGCACTCCTATTGGACGTTTGAAATGAAACGGTTGAAACGTTGAAATGTCGAACGTTGCAACGCCTCAAGTTGTCTACAGTAATTGATGTTACCGAGGGTGACTTGCATAGGGAATTTCAATTTCCACTTTGAAAAATTAAATGTACCGAATAATTTACCGTTGGAGATCGTTTATTGGCTGCAGAAAATAACGCCTGCGTAGTTGATCCTTTGCTATTGTTCTTCATTCACGGCGCATTTTTTGAAAAATGGAAAGAGATGCACAGTGTACAGTACTGTACGGTACAGTATAATCTGTCGTGTATTGGACTGTACACTGTGTCATTCTTTCTGACAAGTTCTATCATGGTACGGCGAAACTCTCGGACAGACAGACTTATTTTATATCAAATACTGTCGTGTACAGTATATACCATACCATACTCTATTACTGTACACTGTAACGTATACTCTTATTCAGATGCTTTGCATATTCGACCAAACACATCGAAAAATGACTTGCTTACTATCAGTATGAATCTTCTATGTCTATTTTTTAATTGCTTCTACTCATTCAAGAAACATTCATGACTTGATAGGGCTGCTTTCTAGCAGAACTTAGTAAAATACAATAGATTTCAATATAATATTACTTTATTTAGAAAAAGAAGCCAATAATGAAATCGAGCCGCGGCTTAATGACTATGAATGGGACCGAAATGTCCGACCGTCCGAGTAAAGTTTCCTATCCATGTACAGTACAGTATACTGTACGGACTGTACTGTACTGTACATATGAAGTCAAGAATACAACCAGATGACTCTAGTGTAACCTATCTAATCTAATATTAGCCGATTTTACTCATGGGAATGGCTTTAAATTTGACTTGACTTGAGCAGAGCAAATGGCAAATGCGGCACTACAGATTACTAAATAAATCTAGTCATTGATGGTAGTACACCATGTAAATGCCTTCAATCCGATGCTGCAGTGTTATGGATGCATTTTAATAAAAGTAATCGTTTTGTGTGCTGAATTTATTTACAGATGCAGAAGTTACAAATGTTTTCTAATGCAGTTTGTTCGATTAATCGAGATCGAATATGACTTTTAAATGAGAACATCAATGAACACAAGATATTGGTGGAAATCATTATTATAATATCACTCTAAAATAAAATAGATATAAATAGTTGTATTTTAATTAATTCAATACGGTAGTTCACAACATCATGGTCAATGAATATTAAGTAATTGGGATATACTATAGTATTGATGATACTATATACTTCTAGTTAAGATGTGCCAATTATCACAGTGTTACAATATTGCAATTCGTGCGAATTATCTGGAGTAATATGCGTCGTTTAAGGAAGGTAATGCATCAAAAATTGCAATGTTTACGTGCGATTGAATCCCACATCATGAACAGCTACAGACTGCAAGACTTGGAACAAATAATTCATCACCTTAGGTAAATAAGCCGTTAGTCTGCTTAACAAGAATCATAATACGTTATATTTGGTTAGCATCGTCTGCAGAATAAGTATAGCATATATAGTAAAGAGGAATAGTTTGCTGGTTGGAAATGTTTGAACAAATGTAATCTTGCCTATACAAGAATTGCAAGCAGCCATTACGAGCGTCAGAAAATCGTTTATACAATTTCGCTGCAATCAATCCCTCAACTAACCATAACTATCATGGCTATAGATAGGTTCTTGTTATTCATTTTTATCATTGCAATCGTCATTCGTCACTAATTTTGCATGAAAAGTGGGCAATTTTATACTTTGGTATACTGCAATCAAGTGGAAATCAGGAAAGAAAACGTAATGGTCGGCACAATCACTTAGCCAATAGCGTAAAATAATCGTAGTAAACACCAGCTAAATGAATTTTTGATCGTCACCAGATTATTTACGTTTCAGAAAGTAAAATTTGCCATCCATAGAGTTTAAATTTAAGTGGCCATACCAAGAATAAGGCGTATCTATCGATTCTAGAAGTTTCACACTAGCAACGGGTGATAAGACTTCATGAACTCGATTTTCAGGTACACAAAATGGCGACGCTACATCAGGACGTTGATTGATATCGAATTCTACCGTAAATAATATTCCTTGTGCATCAGGAGTCAACAATGACATTAATTGTTGGATATATTTTGAATGCTGTTCTGGGTTAAGGGCAATCAAAGCGCCAATATCCCAAAAGCGATTACATTGACAACCTAGTAACTCTGCCGTCAATTCATAGAAATTGAAATTGTAAATAGTAATGTCCAAGCCATCGGCTTGACTTCGATATACTTTGCCATCACCAATACCTTGCAATTTTTCAACACAATAGTCAATGTTATTTTCGCTAAAAAAATCAATGCATGGCTGTGGCACCATTTCAACACCAATCACTCGATTACCATTTCTAGCTAACCAAAGCATATCTTGAGTTTTACCACATAATGGTACGAAAATTGTCGATGGTTGATCACAAGCCAAACAGGATTGATAATATTTGATTAAACAAGGATTACACTTATCGCTTACCCAGTTTGTGTCGCCTTCGGCCCAATAAGATGCCCAATCTTCGACTGTATCATTTCCCAAAGCAACGTAATCTTTATACGTTAAACTCATGGCAATAGCTTAAGTTGCAGGATGTGATTTCTCTCTTGTTCCGAATGATTTTCAATCAGTGCCGGGGCACAGTATAAACGCCAATCTACTAATGATTTAGTTATTTAAGCGTTGATGCTCTTACCAAGTACTCTTAAACTAAGGCGCTACAAGTACCTAATAGAACGGCAGTAATATTGATCAGCGAGGGTTGGCTTTAATAACTTTTAGTAATTTCAGCAATTATCAATTTACCAATCTAATTTAAATTGTAATGTAGTCCAAAGCGTATAATACAACAACGGAAGGTTGACGATGTTTACTATAAATATCAGACGCTAAAGTTACTAGCAAGGAAAGCAGTGTCACTAAATATTCAGGATCGGCTTTAATAATCTCTAGTATATTTTAGCTAATCCATAGATTTACCGTCTAGAAATGGATGAAAACATAAACAAAATGCAGCGTTGAGATATCATCAATTGTTAAGCTACTATGATACTGTAGAATCCTTGTCTTTGCATGATCTATATTTAACAAATTACTTATGTAGTATTCTACGCGTATTGTTACTCTGGTTAAATTGTACTGAAGATCTGCTATGTCATATGGCTTGCTTTTATACGTTATAAGACTGAATTTAACATTATACATTAGAATATAAACTGGGGCACCAAAAAAATCGATGATTGCTTTTGTCGAAATTTAGTTAATTCGATTATAACAAAACTTAATTCAATTTCATAATCCAGCCAGTAGAAATTGTTTCCTCTACAGTACTGTGGTGCATATGGGTAATTCTGATACTAACTTCTAGAAATTCAATGTTAATGCTAAACTTACGACACTCCGCCTGCAGAGTCACCTTTATTACAATACTGATTACAAAAAAAGACTCTTTTATTTTTCCTATCACTATCCTGCTGCAACAAGAGCTATTCGATCCCTATTCTAAGACAGTCCTCAATAAGTCATTTCCGGTTGTAGCGGATAAATCAGTTTATTACTCAATAATTATTGTTAAATTTTACAGTTGTCATAGTAGATAACGCAACGCATACCCAGTCTCAGAGTAAATTCCTCCGGAAGGAATCAGTCTTTGTGTCCTTCTTCTCAACATATTGATAAACATGCTTATCAAATGTTTTTTGTTAATTCCTGACATGCTATCCTCACTGTACTGTAGGCCATTCAGACTCTAGGACTTGCTGATGCCGCCTACCGAGCCATCTTTCTTCTCACTGAAAGCTGCTGCTAACGATACTGTAATACAGTTTATCTACCAATAGCCCACACTATCCTTGCACCTAAAAGTACTCTAACATCTTTGACTGTGACTTGCCATAACATCCCTTGAGAAATAAAACTGTGAAGTAGAATAGGACGTGTATGATATCCATCTTTATAGTTAACATAACAGATGTATGGCATATTTGATGGTAATTTGCAAATTAGGGATAACCAGTAGAGGAAAAATCAGGCCCTTCAACAAGGTTATTGCTATATGATTTTACCCGTTCACATCATTACGTGTTCTGTCTCTACCGAAATTATGGAACAGTAAATGCTAGGATCTAAATTACAGACCAATTTAATACGATTAGGTTATTATATCCACGTACTGTCCAGTACAGTATGCAGATTTGCAGAAAGTGAAGACAGAGCCGTCAGGAAAGAAAAGGATCGAAAAATAATATATTTTTCAGTGTTGACTTACAAGTAGACGTATTCAAAGTAGGATTTCCATTCTATGTACCTTTATGATGGGCATCTAACACTACGCCTTAAATTTTTCTATATTTCTAACGCACTAATTGGTCAAGGTACGCACATTAATTCCTCTACCACTAAATTGCCAAAACTTACTGTTATGTATCCGGTTGAGGATAGTTTCGAAGACTACAGGCCAACAATAAAACTCTATATTCAGTTCTAGCTGCTTAAACTATACGCATACTGTGATATATCACGGGACGTTCGGGGAGGGTGGAAGGGGATAAGAAATTAGTTGAGAAGTCCCTATGTCCAGTTCGACGTACAGCGTCTGGCCAGTAGGTATAAGTACGGAAGTACCGAAATTAGTTGAGAAGTCCCTATGTCCAGTTCGACGTACTGCGTCTGGCCAGTAGGTATAAGTACGGAAGTGCCGTGCTATACTGAACTCGATAACTAAGACCAAACATACTGTACAAGTTATATTGCTATCATTACATTATATAACGCATTTCAAGACATTCTAATAGTTCTACGTATGTAATGAACTAGGGCTTCTTCCCGAGTTTTAGCAGTCGATGATCACTTACAGTTAATCAAGAATGCAATGACAACTATTGCATTACTCCACGTATGTACTCACAATCTCACCACTAATTTTTCATTGATCACTTCAAAATAAAGCAAACGCGTACAGTGTATCCAAGGAAGTAATGACTTACTTTGAATTTCATAGTGTTGTAAGATCTTTATTAATTTATACACACTTTCGATAATATATTACTTAAAATATCGCTTTTGTACCGTCGCAATCGTATAAGACTTTTGGAACATCATAATATCCTTTGAAATGATAATGTCGACGGAAAGGTGAAAAACCTCTATTCGAATCGTAAAAATTTATAGAATATAAAGAAAGACCTTACCTCTATGGTAAAGATTGATAAATAAGAACATCAAAATCCTGATATATAAGCCGATATCAGTATTATGTATATTATATTGCATAATTGAAAGACAATCTTTTAAATTTCTCCCGTTTAAGTCAACACAAATCTTAAAATTAGATTGTTTCGTCAGACTATTCCCAATTGGCAAGAGATGTTATACCGTAATTACAGAAAGTTTACATCCGTTCGTGTTATCCTGTATGAAATCTCATTATTGACTTAACAATTATTTAACTTAGCTGGTTTATCGATAATTTTTCTGGAATGTAAAATAGCGTTCATTCAAACCAATCGTAACATCATCTATGATACGTGTATAACGTAATATTAGATCATCTCTAATTTCTGCTTCAGGAATAACGTAAAAAATAGTGCAACAATAGTTTGTGATATACAGTAACAAATAGAATTGTAGCCGATCTTCATCAAGCTGGACATAAAAAACTCGACGATGACAGTTATAATTGTGTTATTTAGTATATTTATAATGTACATACTCGTATATATTTATATATTATTATCTTCTACATTGATATTAAGTATATATATATCATACGCTTTTGAGAATACTATTCTAATTGTTATACTAAGCTCATTTTTAGAGTTAATAGTTATAATTTTATGTAATTCATGTGGATTCTGATATAATGCTGTATCCTATTATTAGTATAATTTGAGCTTTCAATTTATATTGCAGCCAATTTTTATGATCAATTTTAACGTTTAAGGACTTGTTTCAGCTTACTATCATAACGTTTTCTTGATCAGAAATACTCTTTATCACTTACGACAATACAGTCATGGTCAAAAGTGGCGATGCCATTGACTACAACCAAAACTGAATACTCGAAACTTAAAGAAATTTACAATCATTACTATATGCTGTATTTGTCCTCACATTCCAATCAATAGATCGATGAAGGATCAGTATCAGGAGATCACTTTTCCGAAGCATTTTCTACATCTTGCTGAGATTCTTTCGTTGAATCTTCGGCCTCCATCGACAAAACAGTATCGTTAACTTTGCATGAATCATTATCTTCCGATGGCGATGGTCTATCCTCTACTAATAATATCTTGCTATCTTCCATTTGCGTTTCTTCTGCATCGCTGCTCACTCGATTTGCATTCTCAATTGCCGCAGAAGGCATATTTGAACTGTTACTACTACTAGGAATATAGTTATCGGAGATATCTTTTACATCTTCTTCAGATTTTTCTCCAACCTCCATAGTCTCAGTCTGCCTACGATCAGTATCTGTAGTCTCGGTTTCATCATTACTCAAACTGTCATCGGCACGCTTTTTATCTATAACTTCTCGAAATATATTAGTTTCTGTTGTTTCTTTGATATCACCTTTAATATCATCTTCAGACGATTTCAATTCAAGTTGTACAAGGCCATCAGTCGGTGGAGCTAGTTCAGCAACATTTTCTATAAGTGACTTCTTATCGTCATTTTCGTTAACTTCATCGTCTTGCTTAGAGCGACTATGTACCACATCCAAAAGAGTTGGAATTCCAGAAGTAGGGTGAAATCCATCACATTTACAGTATATGGTTGGTGTTGGAGGCGAGTCCCACTCACCCGAATCAGATAATATTTTCATCAGCGTGCATGGAATAATATCTTGTACAAGGAAATCATACAATAATTCATGCGCCCTACGCAACAATAAGTTACCATCCATTTCTTGAATAGAAGTAAAATGAAGAAGAGTAAGATCTGGGGATAAATCTTTTTCAATTACAGTATCTCCATATACTGAGATAGCAGCAGCACATAAAAATAGATGAAAGTAGGACGTATGATGTTGAGACCAAGCAGCTTCCCAAATCCTTTGAGCTTGATACTCCCCTACTTCTCTCCTAAAGCATAGCAGTAACCAACGATGGCAAAAGAGAAGTTCCATACCATTTAAGAATTTCATGCAATGTGCATAAAAATGCGGTAACATCGTTCTCAACAGTTCTCGTAACAATCCCTAATGCGCGTAGTTTCAAGTGAAATGAAAAGGTCTTTATAAGAATGATGTTATAATAAAATGAAAAAAGTTATCTAAAGTTACATACAAGCTGTTCTTCCATATCATTTTGTGGAGTGTTGAGAAAAACACTCTTTTCCATAAGCCCAATAAAGCACCAATAAGCATCGATTTCGTTATCCATAATAACTAATAAGGGAGCCAGAAGGTCAGACATACCTTGCGTGTATCCGACCACTGGATTATCAATAGCGTAATTTAACAAAATTCTCCTAGGGGTACAATTTAAAAATACAGTTATCAGTGCTATCAGGCTCGGTAATATAAGATATTTAGATAACAGTAGTCATGCTAAATATTTAATAAGAGTACAGAAATATTAAGCTTGTAGCCACACATGATCGAAATAAAGCTCACTACTGTATTAGAAAACGTGAAAGTAGTAATAATATATCAGTAATGCTTATTTAGTAAATATCTCCTGATTTTATCATACCGTCATAAAGTACATATTCATTGTTTTTATTAGTCATTAATCGATAGCTTTTCACAAAATTTTAATTGGCTAAAATGTCTGTATTGAAGATAGCTTCTGCCAGTTTTGGATGGCCTTTATTAGATCACTGATATCTTTTCTAACAATACTATTGCTCATTCATACAGTAACATTATAACAAAGATTAAAGATTGTTAATAACATTACATTGTTTACTAGCCATATGTAGCCTGAGTTGCAATTAATTGCAAATCAATGATGTCAGTAATTACACATTAGAAATCAATTTTGATTAAAAGCTAGATTGCTAACCTTAATGTTTGTACGTGAGGATTATCGGCACCTGCGTAATATTGAGAACTACGGTCTGTACGTACGACATCCTTATCAACAATACATTCGACTTTGCGATAGAATGTTTTCTGCTCTTCACCGCTGATACCTTGTCTAAGATGTATAAAAATAAGGCTTATTTTTACCTCCAAAGCACGCAATAGTGATGGTCAAACAATCTCATACCCTTCATGTAATATACATTTGATTATGGCTAGTAAATAAATATAGTAACAATCTTAATGAGCATATAAATAGCAAGTTTTCATTACTATAAAAAAAAATTGAAAAAGTAAATCATTTTATTGGGATCATAACGCCCTTATTATTTCAATATGCTATTTTCTAATAGAGTAGGATTCGCTTAATTAATTCTATCAGTAGGGCACTAGTGCTACTGTAATTTACTGATTCTATCTTTAGTTTTTACCTTTTGTCATTGATACTCTTGTAAATCTTTGTACGTTGTAACTTTAGCTCTTGTCTTTGTTCAAATGTCGAATCGTATGGATAATATTCTAATAGAAACTTCCACACCTCCTTTCTCATCTCTTCAACGATACCAGCAAAAAACACAGCCTTTAATATTAGAGATGCAAATATAAAATAGACTTTTTAATTATTACAGTAAAAAATCTATAAAAAGTTCGATAATAATAACAAATAACATAACAATAGCACTCCTGTAAATTTTTTAAATCATTAGCAACATAAGAATCGTAAATCTAGGTAATAATTGTTAAGACCAAATAATTCCTTTTAAAGCACTAGCCATTTCTAGCGTAGATGATAGTACATATAAAATCACGTAAACGGTCAGTAAAGCAATGAGCAATAGTACTATACTAGCAAATGTAATGAAAGGATGGTTACACTTTTGAAAGTATCGGATATACTATAGATTGTAGTAATGAGTACAGAAATAAGTTGATAGTTTAAGCGGTCATACATATACATGTGTAGGCGTAAGCATATACTATATAGCTGATTATGCTATAAAGCTATAGGAAGAACATCATTATTCACTTTACAACGTAAAAATGTCACTATTCTATCCAAGTTGCGTTAGCTAAATTTATTTTAATAGGAAGAGGCTGCTGACATAAAGTTTACGTAGTGAAGTAAGGATTGCTGATTGTATAGTGACAGTAGTCGATTGAAATGGTTACGGATGCGTACATGAAGATACAAAAAAGATTTCTATTATTATAAATAAATATAATATTAATTATACACTAACTAACGACGGCTGCTTAAATGCAATCCTTAATTACTGAGATACTGTAGGTGGACTAAATAATGTGTTATTGTTATTTTGGCCATAAAGTGCAGTGCAACCTATGTGATAAATTGCTCTTACCAATAAAATAATTTCAATTAAAATTCATTCTCGAATTATCTTACTATACGTTTCATTAGCTAGACAGGATAAAATCTCATTGAATTGTAAAATTATAGTGTCAAGCAAGTTATACGTTGCAGATGGAAGCTATTGAGTTTAATAAACAATGTCTAGATTATTTTATTGTCTAAAAAAAGATCAGAAATACTGTAATTTTACGGTATTGATCTATTGTTTGCAAGGTAAAAATGATATGAATTCTAGCCCGAGAGTAAAAAGAAGTATTTTTCAGAGAAAAGAAATTACTTACGATGTACGTAGGGATATTATGATAGGTAATTTTACACTATTTCTAAATATTGCTTTTGTGTGGGGTGGTAGTAGAGGTCATGTTATAGTCGAATAAAATTGACTTTACGAGTAATCCACTGTAGAAGAATTTTGAACACAGCTGCAGAAGCTTAACGATTAGAAGTTATTAATCATTAGATCTGCCAATTTCATTATATTCTTATGACGTTATAATCCTAGTGATAGAGGAATTTTCTAATTTTTATGTTTTTTTATTTATCAACGGGGAATGTGAAAGAAATTAAGTGAAATAGTACATTAATAAGATTTTATTGACAAGCAGCATTGTGGACATGAACTCGATGAAAGGGATATAATATCATCAATGATCCATAGCGACGGCGACACTCCGACGTCTAATCAACCGAAGGAGTGTTATATCAGTAGAGTATATGGCATTCTCGAGTCTACAGCACAATTAAGCGACTATACAGTAGGAAGAATAACATTATTCTTACTAAATATTGTCTATTTTTCTTAATATAGGTAGTGGTCAGTAAAGTTGGAGTACAATAACCATTTACTACCTTTGCAGATTGAACTCGTATCGATGGTAGTATGACTTTAATATCAGAATAGTTGTCCCAACAAGATGCGATATCGGGCCAATCATTGCACAAGGTGTATCATTTCCTAGGAAGTATATTGTCATGGAAGCACTGTTGATCTGTTAGCACTCTTACGGCATCCATGTTGTCAAGATGTCGATTTATTTATTTATTGTTCCTTCGAGTTTGAATGTTTTGATACCGGAATAGAGAGTATCGTGTATGGTGTAGGTGCTATTGATTTAATTGATTCGTCGCCAGTACAGTACACTGTCCAATACTGTATAGTAGTGTAATTGATAGTACTACTTTGTTATTTAGCACTAGGGGGGGTACGCTGGGAAAATTTCAAAATCAATATCGGTCGAGAATTCTTGTACAATGATGGTAATACATGTATTGATTCTTACCTCCTTGAACTGGGTCTTTTTAACAAGTCGGCCTTGTCCATCGAATAAATTACGCCATACTTGAGAGTCGACCTTGTCACGTCTGGGAATTTGTAGGTTGATGGCTTCTCCATTAGGAGTGCAAATATCGTAATGGCGTGTATTTAATTCAGGCGACGACGATAATAGTGTTACACAGCTGTGCCATACATCGAATACCTTACATAATCGATCGAGTCCACCATGTTGAAAGTGAAAGACTTTATATTGATTTTGAATACTTTTTAAGACTAGGCGACCCGAGTACAAGGTGTCGGTATCGAGAAATATCTTAATTGCTTTGATAGAACGCGTATCCATTTCAAATATAGGCTTGATATCATTCTCCATTTGACGTTGTTGATCAATATCGGGTGATGTATCTGCCATCAATTCATTGGGCAACCACCTAAATACGATATGACTATCATGATAACAAGTGCGTAAAGTTAAGTATCCATTGGCTACTTCATTGCAATAAGGTAAACGGGCACGAACATTATTTTTGCATAAGATGATTTCGCCTTGATCATCGTCGTCGACAAGACTCTCCTCGCTACTATCGACTACTTGATCCGTGTTACCTGGGTCTGATAGGGGCCTACTTGTCTCATGATCGACTTTATCGTCATTGTCTGTAGTTGGAGATATTTTCCTTGAGCTATTTTTATTATGAGTAGATTTACTACCCAATTTATTGCTCAAGTAGGATAGCATGATAGCAGATTGAAGTCCAGATCCAAGATATTACTGGTAAACTAATGGATGAATTTATTTACTACACAGTCGCGTTTCTGTCTGACGAAGCCGCTTTTTACAGTACTGAACTTGAAGGTATGAGAGTGATTTTATAGCTCTTCGTACTGTGGGCAGTACAGTACAATTTGTCGTTGTGTACAGTATTGTACTGTACTGTAGGGTAGTACTGTACTGTAAAGTACAGTACAGTATGACCTGTATTGTATGACCAGTTAAAAGGTTTGGACTTCTGAGGGTGTCTCCTGTAAGTCTTTCCCGACGCTTGAAACTAGATGAAATTATAGTTTGAAGTCCTTGCTAGACAAATTTGCTATCATTGAATTGAAAATAAGACGTTTTATGTGAATATGTAATTGAAAGTTGTATAAAATGTGTTAAAGCTAGTAATATTAGCACTTAAAGCCAAAATTACTTGTATAAATACAGTACATTACAAGGAAAAAAAGTTGAGTGGATGCTAGAGTACAGTACAGTGTACAGTGTACAGTACAGTGGTCTGGTCAGTCCTGTACTGTAGAAACACGTGACTTTCACTACACTCAATACAGTGTACAGTATAGTGTACTGTATATGGTACAGTACAGTACAGTATATTGTATGATACAGTACTGTAGTACAGTACAGTATATTGCATTTACAGTACAGTACTGTACAGTACCGTATGCTCTCATAATTCTCATTACAGTACAGTATTACTGTACAGTATATTATTGTACTGTACAGTGTACACTGTACTGTACAGTATATTGTATTATAGTACTGTACTGTACACTGTACAGTACAATATACTGTAGTACAATACAGTACAGTATACAGTATTAGCGTACAGTTTACAGTTATACAGTATTAGCGTACAGTTTACAGTATACAGTACAGTATACAGTATTGCAGTTATGCTCTCATAATTCTCATTACACTGAGTGTACAGTACACAGTACAGTATAAGGAAAAAAGTTGAGTCGATGGTAGAGTACAGTGTACAGTGTACAGTACAGCGATCTGGTCAGTCCTGTGTACTGTAGAAACATGTCTGTACTGTACTGTATGACTTTCACTACACTGTATACAGTGTACAGTGTACAGTGTACAGTACACTGCAATGGCAACGTTGCGCAACAGCAGGCATACTGTAACTCACAAGTCACAACATGACCGCACCAATACCAAGTCTGTGTACTGTACTGTACCGCTTCAACAGACATCGCTTGATATAAAGCGGTACACTCAGCGTCCAGCACTATTGACGTACATGTATTCACAGTCGAATCTGTACACTGGAACATTTCTCCTGTGGTCATTGACATTTTCGTTTTCACTGGAGGACACATTGAAAGATAGAAAATCATGGGTGGCACAGACAGCAAACTCTATTTTCGCAAGGCTATCGTTCAGCTAACCACCAAAACAATGGTAATGCAATCAATTAAAATGTCTTCTGTCCATTTCCATCCAAGAGAAGAGTTCAAATTTTGTGTCAAAATGATCTAAAATTGACCAAAAAGGAAATCACTCATCACTGTAGTGACTGACACCAATGACTGATACAGTACACTATGCCATTGTACAGTATAGAGTCTATGTGGACAACATATTTTCCATACGCTCATAGCAGATTTTTTTTTTTTTTCTCTCTTCTTTGACTATTCAAATCATTTACAGCTGTTCTTGTAGTGGTCAAAAGATGAATTGAAACAATCAATTTAGTTATAGACTTGAAAATAGATAGAATGACTAGTGGAAATGGTGATCCATATTCGCTTAGTCATGGTATTTGTAGTTCAACAGAGTCATCTAATTTCTGCGATAGGGTCGACCCATCGAGTAGCTTTCATTCATATCCAGTGAAAGAGCCCTACAAGAAAATAACTTATTCTTCGTGTGTAATATTGATTAAAAAATAGACTCTTATTTTATACAGATAGAATACAAATCTTGCATTCAGTTTAGAGATGGAATAATAACATTTTCCTTTGCAGTATATTTTATTCCAATGTTATGCTACGCAATGATAGTAAATATTCAAAAGGAGTCATGGTTGTCTACGCTTACAGTGTGGTAGCTGTTGTTATGAATTAATTAGTATAGGAAAAGCAATCTACACTACAGTGCTGCACTATTTGGGAAAGTTATCAAATACTGTAATATAAAATCAACGACACACGGCGATGATACAGTTGATCATCATGATTCCTACTGGATATTCACTCTATCGTAATATCAAATCTCCTTACCGTGAACTATCAATCCTTGTTACTCTGACTCATAAATCCAAACCATGTTTGCATTGAGTGAATATACATACATTCATCGATTTTTTAAATTTTAATAGAATGGAGAATGTTCCCTAACTGAGCTACTGTGTGTACATACCAATATTCATACTTTGACCGTACGTTATGACTTACTGTAGGTTTACTCACCCTTTGGTAAAGTTATTTTATTTGGCCTTGTTAAACTATTGTTGTTCTTAATTTTAACAATAGTAAAATTCCAAGGAATCGACCAGCGTATACTTCCTTTTCGTCTCAGATCGTAATATTATTCCTCATGTTAAAATTTCCTATTTTGGGGCACTTGAATTAGGGAACGAGTGTACAGAAAGCAATGATAAATTACTGTAGTTTATTATTTTTATTGTACAGTATTGTTATTACTATATACTTATGCATTGCAGTATACGCGTATAATAATGATCGAATCATATAAGCAATCAATTCTTTAATATTAGATTGTACGAAATAGGAATTCTACAGTAAGAATCTCAGTAAAGTAAATGAAACAAGACGCGCATGATTGCATACTCGTTACAACGAATTATTTTTAATAAAGCTCCTGTTTTTTGAAGATACGACAGCAAAATCACAACATGAAAACTGCATTGAACTTGAAATACATGTACATTGGCCCTATAATTAAAGCACAGTTAAATATTCGCCTGGAACTACTGTTCTTATTTCTTATAATGTACAGTATGCCAGACAAAACACACTTTCATAAGCATACTTGGTGTTGTTTAAGCTTAATCCTTGGAAACAAAATGGAAAGTCAACTAGGATCAAATTGAATTGTTTGCAGTTTGTATCCAGACCTCGATCCAAGATATTAAAACTACTCACAAATTATTAGATGACAACTACTTTTTCCTACAATTAGAATTTTCTTGGAACATTTTCTTATACAATGATGTATCTTTTCCCCATATCTCACATAATCAACTTAGATTTTTCATTAATTGATTGATCTAAATATTGTTTGCTGGTTAACACCTCCTGTTGATAATAACATACTATATATTTTATTTTGACAGCCAATTGATGCTAATGACGATGCTTTTTGGGATCAATTTTGGAGTGAATCGATTGCCTCTGTACAGGACATTTTCACTTTAGTTACAGCCCAAGAGATTCGTACATTAAGAGATGAAGCACCGTCAAATTTAGCTACACTCTCGATTAAGGTAGGATGAAAATTGATGTGTTTATACAAATTTATGCGCTATTAATGAAACAGCAACATCTGCACTATAACTTCTTCAAGTTTTTTTAAGCTTAAGTAATAAAGCTTTTGTTATGGTAGTGTAAAGCCTTTGGTATAGTATTTCTAAATCCCCAGAATTTAAAAAACATATTAACCTTTCCTTATAATACTGTATAAAATTTGAATTTTGATAGTGTATGGTCACAACCGGTGTCTCTATGTCCATTGACGTATTTTGCAATTTTTCATAGTTGTGTGGTTCTATGGCTAGTTTTTACGAGTATTAGCAGTGAATAGGGTATATTCTATAAATCATTATTATTAGCAGTATTTGATTTTATTATTCATTTCTATTTCAACTTTAAAATGGAAAGTCTTTAAAACTTTATTCCTTTCGTATCCTTACCGACAGCATCATCATCAACAATACAATAATCTAGTCTAGGTAGTTAATACGCCTTGGCCGAGCTATATACTGTAACTTAGCTTAAGACTAAGTAATATAATCCCTTCGTACCACGAGATGACTATGAATACATTAGCGAAACTTACTAATAGAAAATGTTAAGTGGACGCTCCTTAATACCTGCAATTGTTAGCAATCAGCTTTTCCATTCTATGCTTTGTAGCTGTACTTTCAAAGTATCTAGTATGTTTACGAGCAGAGTTCCAACGATTATTGTAAGGTATTCTTCAAAATGAAGAAAGAAATTATATTTTTAGCTTTAAGGAGTAATAAATTTATAATTTTTCATAAATAATAACATAGTGAAAGGATGACGGCAAACAATAACTCTGCATTGACGATCGCATATGCCGTGTTTTTATTTAGAGTATACTCTTAACCGTATCAAAAAATGATATCTTAATGAATGATATGATAGGATCCATTATTCTATAGTATAGTAATCAATTACTGGTAAAGTTGACTATATCATAAAAACATTTTTGTGCTATAGATTCATTAACTGCTAGCAGTAAGTTTATCAATAATACTTGGTTAATCACTTTTATCGTCAGTCAATCGTATGATTACAATTCATACTCAACTAAAAAAAACACTGTCGTCGTTATTGCTACTATATATTCTTTACGAACTCTGTTCGTTGGATCACTCTTTCATTTCATCATTAAACGTATTGTTAAGATCAGGATAGTATCAGCAACAATCAATTTACACTACTGTACGAGTATGCGGAAATCGATCGTATTGAGGCTACTGCTACCGTAAACATATGGTTTAATTATCCACATGTCCGACATTTCTAGTTCTTCATCATCCTGATAAAAGTATCGTTTACCATCAAAGTTATGTCATTCCATGATACAGTTTTAATAAATTTTTGCAATTACATATGTAATAACTTGTTTAAAAGTTGTTATCGTAATGAGCATTTGCAAACTAGATTTATTTCCTCGCATATAGGCTATACCGTTCAAAAGAAAGATCTTATAAAATATCAACACCGTCTTTCTACTGCAGAATACTGAAATTATACAATTGATCGTATAATAGCATGTATCTTAACGAAGGAAACTAAGTCATTACTTTGTAGCTTTAACTTTGAAAATCCATAATTTAAGGTCAAAAAGTTGAAATTATAAATTTGTAACATCCTGGAACATAATAAGAAGTTAAAAAATTAAAAATGATTGACGTATCATCATGTGTTTATCATATTTTGTCAATCTCATTAATATAAACGTAATAATCAAGTTATGCCATTTTATTTTATAAGTTATAATATCTTGGGTCATTATTTTTCGAATATACAGGCTGTTGAGAAATTAGTGGCTGCCTCGATGACAGCTTGTTCAACACCAAAGGAGCAAACTACAGGCAAGAAATATATAACAAAGGCATTATCTATTTTAATACACCGCCTCTTAATCTATAGTACTTTATTTAAGAAATAATAAATACCTACTGTATTTGTAGTTGCACTTGAATAGTTACCTTTGAATAAGATTTTGTAGTAGTTTGAAGAGCAATCTTGGCATCCTATTAATCTCACTCTTTAGATTAACTTTCTGAATAAAACGGATAACATAGCTATTGATAATTATAATTTGATCTTTAAAGTGCTCATAAAATTACGTAATTACAAAGTCATTCTTCAGTTATGCCACCATGTTGCTCATTTATCAAAATTATTAAATGATGTAAATAGGTCATATGCATATGAATCAATTTAATTTCTATGTTTTATTCAAATTTACTAATTATTATTGTGCTTTATATCAAACAGTACTGAATTGCTGTAGGCTATTAACTAGAATTTTGCCGTACATATTCGAAGACAGTGATTGGCGAGGATTTTTCTGGTCCTCAGTTCCAGCAAATACGGTTAATGGAATTCTTAAATCAAATAAGATCGTTATTATAGTGCTATGCTACTTATACCAGATGTAATTTATCACTTTTTTATTCCGCTTTAGGATGATGATGGATCACCTGAGGTTCGAAATATGACTGAAGGCTCTGTAAGTATATCATCTACATGTATATTGAAAGTCTTAAACATTCGTACAATGTGAAACACCTCTGTTGTTCATACTATTGTATTCTCTGATTAGGATGGAGCTCAACCATTAGCGAAATCATTACTTAATGCCATTCTGGTATGTAATAATCTATCTATAATTAATCATAATTTTACCTTCACTGAAATACGCTTTCTCTCACACTTTATATCATTGAATGTTGTAACCAACCTGCGACGCAGACTAATGATTATCATTCAAAATTTTAGGATCTCTTATTCTGTCCAGACTTTACTGTTCCCAAACATAAGAAAGCTGGCCCGGTAATTATAGTACTTTCTTACGGTAATGATATATTTAACTTTTAGGATTACTTATTCGTTGTACTATAACACCTATCAACTACTAGGAGACCCCTGATGATCTGCCTTCTATTGACAGCTGTGAATATATTTGGTATAGTTTAGTTGTGATATAAAAAATTTGATGTATAGTTACTTATCAATCGGTAAATTTAAACTTGCATTAATGTTAAATATTTTAACATTACAAATAGGGAGGCTGGAGTTGGATTTGCTACCTCAACGCCAGCTAATCCTCAATTTGATCGAAATAGAACAGAAATTCTGAAGCTGCTACTCACTTGTTTTTCTGAATCATTGTATATGCTACCAAGTGGTACGTTAATCTTTCTGATACTATTTTCAACTGTAAAATTTCTCGGAAACATGAATTTCGTAATTATTATTTCAACAACTTCCGCCCTTAGCCGATTCTGGAAATAACCAGTGGTTGGATTACTTTACATCGACGAATAATAGGTAACTACGATAATCTATTGTACTTCAATCTTATTATTTGTTATTGTACGTATTTTTTTGCAATTACTAACGATTTATTTTTACATATTTCCTTAAGACATGCATTGCCTTTATTTACGTCGTTATTAAATACCGTCTGCTCGTATGATCCCGTCGGTTATGGAGTTCCTTATAATCATCTCATGTTTCAAGACGCAAGAGAACCGTTGGTCGAAATTGCTGTCCAGTTGCTAGTTGTCGTCCTCGATCATGAACCTTCCACTATCACTATCGATCGAAGTGCTGAACATGACACAGTAAGTATCCTTCAGTTGTGTATGCACAAAATCTGGGTACAGCTTTATTTATCTAAATTTAACGAACCTTCACTATGTAGGCAGGAATAAACGATAATCTATTTTGCAATTATTTATCACGAATACATCGCGAAGAGGTCAGCTTAAAATCCTGAAAAATACTAATTGTTTTACTGCATGTTTTTGTATTTAAAGAGCAATTATATGCAAAATAAACTCTGAAATTTTTGATTATAGGATTTTACTTTCATTCTACGCGGTATAATTTTATTACTTAATAACCCATTACTGCAAGTAAGAAAGCATCTTTCATCATTTCAGTATTATTGTTAAATAGTACGACAGCGTATGTAGTGCATAACTGAAATAAAATCATTTTCTTTTATTGATTAATAGACTTATCTACCAAATTCGTGCAAGAAGATAGGTTTCTATCAAGAATTATTAATTTTTCTCTGGAAAGTCTGTGATTGTAATAAGGTCTGTTGATGACTGTCAGTAATAGGGGCGATAATATTGCTAGTCTAATATCTATTTTTACTACATTCTTTCAGAAATTCCTGTACTATGTACTTAAGAGTAGTGACGTTTTAGATATCTTAGTACCAATCCTATATTACTTGAATGATGCTAGGTGTGATCCAGGTTAGTAACATAAAAATCTTGCGATATCTTTAGTATGCAGATTATAAAGATGGTTTAAGTATAATTATTAATTTATTGGATTAAATCTTATCCTTTAAAATTCTTCTTTATTTAATTGTGATAGCTCGTATCGGCTTAATGCATATTGGAGTATTCATTTTATTACTTTTGAGCGGTGAAAGAAATTTTGGTAAAAGAGTAGATATTAATTACTTTACCGTTTTATCAAATAAGCTAATTAAAGTAATTAATTCAAATAATTTTTTAACCTTCTATGCAGGTGTTCGCTTAAATAAGCCGTTCTCAGCTAAAGTACCAATGGATTTACCAGTATTTAATGGCACACATATTGATTTTTTAGTAATTGTAAGTTCTAAATTGATGATTAGAACAAATTTATTCTAAAATTTACTATATATTGCAGCTTTCCTTTATCAACTAATCTTACGTAGGTATTTCATAAAGTAATTACTACTGGCCATCAACGCTTAGCACCTATATTTGATTGCCTTTTAACCGTCCTTGTTAATGGTAAGTTAGTAATCATTTTAGTTATTCGACATAATTTCATTAATACTTGATTACATAAAACTGATTCGTTATATGGTAATATTTTATTCGGCCATAGTTTCACCTTACTCGAAAACTTTATCAATTGTTGCTAGTAACAAATTGCTTCATCTGCTAGAGGTATGTCTTCTGGTTGCACTTTTATTTTAATCTTCTATTTGAAATTATCGCTATATTAAGCTATTTAGTGATTAAATTATTTTAATTTTGCAATATGTTTGATAGGCTTTCTCAACACCCTGGTTTTTATTTAGTAACAACAACAATCATCACTTGATATTCTTTTTACTGGAAGTATTCAATAATATTATCCAGTATCAGTTTGATGGTAATTAATGCAAATACGAACTAGTAGCTAACGCTTTAGTTCAATACATTTCGAATTTTTATTAATGCCCATATTGGCGATTTTTCTTTGCAGGTAATTCCCATTTAGTATACACAATAATCCGTAAGAGAAATATATTTCATCAGGTTATTATCAAAATGGTTTTCTTTATTATGTTCACCAATTTCAGCATACCTTCATAAGTTTTAATTTCTCTTATAACACATGTACTTATAAACATATTACATTTACATATTAGTTGGCCAATCTACCTACTGATCCTTCGACTGTAGTTAAACCCAATAAGAAAGAAGATAGTTCAGAGTAAGTTACCAAATAAATTTCTTTTATAAACATTCATTTTTTTGCGTTTAAGAGCCATATTAAAGTAATGAAAAATTTCAGTGATGCAGGGGCAAGTGGTACTCTCGGAACAAAAACTTTACTTTCTTCTGGAATTGGTAAATTGATAATTTAAGTGGATTACTGCAAAATAGCTTTTAACACCGTAGACTACCGGTCGTTCAGTGATGAAATATTTATTTTTGTATTTGACTCCTATGTTTGATTATATAGAGAGCATATCAGTAGCCCAGTATCAGAGCGGCACTGAAAGTGCCTCCGATCCTAATAACATTAGTGGAAGTGAATCTGATACTTCGAGCGATGATGAGTTAAGCAAAACTGGCGCTGCCAGTATGAAGAAGAAAACCAAGAAAATAAAGAAGTCGCCGAGATTTGATAGTGTATCACCTGACGGACACTTTACTCCAACTCCAGAATGGGTAAAAATCGGCTTTACTTTCGTTCTTTCTTCACAACAACGGAGATTTACTAAACTGTTTTTATTAATGCCTAAAACCGATGAGATTAGTTACTCAGCTTAATTTTTATGTACACACAAAGGTATTGTCATGGAAGCAAAAATTACCTCTACAAACCATCATGCGAATGCTGCAAGTATTAGTACCGCAAGTGGAGAAAATTTGCATTGATAAGTTCGTTATTCACCCTTTTTTTATTACCATTTGATCTGCTCATTAAGCTAGCTCGATTTTAATTTAATGATCATAACAATATCATTTTGATTAGGGGCTTAACTGATGAAAGTGAAATTTTGAAGTTCTTACAGCACGGTACGCTTGTGGGATTGCTGCCAGTTCCCCATCCAATTCTGATAAGAAAATATCAGGTATTTGAAGGATTTTATTGTCGAAGCTGTATTTGTCTAAAGTAAAATGATTAAAAGTAAATTTACTACTCCATATTAATGTTTTATTTCAAATTTTCCACTGACTGACTTATATTTTCCTTTGTATTATTAATAGCCTAACAGCGCGACTACTATGTGGTTTCGAACATACATGTGGGGCATTATATACTTAAGGTATGAATGCTATTATTATTTTTCATAAAAACACACTAAAATCCGTTGTAGCTTATTAATGTTTGCATTACGATTGTTAGAAATTTCGATCCTCCTATATGGTACGACACTAACGTCAAACTGTTTGAAATTCAGCGAACTCACTAATTTGATTCTCTTATTGGGAAACAAACTGGCGTTGTTTATCACTTCGCAGCCTGTTTTTAAAATAATCTATTGTGAAAGAATTTATATCTTAATCAAGTAACTAGAAAAGCTATATATTGTGTCGTATTATATCGAAATGTGCTGCTAATAATACCGTATAATTACATCTACCGATACAAGAGACTACGATAAATACAGAAAATAGATTTCGTTACTACTAGCTGTATACTAGTAAATGTATAAAGAGCGAAAAGTCATAATTGTAACATTAAGCGTATATGACATTTTGCAATTTTTAACAATCCCTGTGATGTACAGTCAATAAATCTTAGAATGAAATAACTGCTGTTATGATATTTGCAGGTTTATTAGCCTACTAAGTATCAGCATACACTATTAAATGATGATACTTATCTTTATATACGATAGTATGCTATATTGATCTAAAATACTTTAGTACCATTTTGCATTTCTCACATAGCGTAGCACAACATCAATACGCCTGCATCACCTACAAATTTACCGATTACGAAGATCAGCTTCTTTTGAGTTAGACTTTTATTTGCTCAAGTAAGATGTCGTTACCATAGTATTAGATTACACTTAAGGAGATTAAATAAAATACTATTGTATGTATAACCAATATTGGCACTTAAGCGGTTAAAAAATACGGATATTTGCTTGTAAAAACGTAAATGTTGTAAAACGTTAAATCGCTACAAATAAAAAACCATAGCTTCCTGCTACATTTTATTCACAGCTACGACTTTTAGCGTTATCAGTGTGCTGACCAATAAATTACAATATGAAAACAGTATTATTTTATACCTAAATCGTATATTGAAATAATTCATGATAAGCTAGTATACATATTTTGCAATTACATATGTGCAAGTATATTAATCGAAGTTTCTAGTGTAACTAAACTGAAATCAAAATATTACAGTAAACGAGATTGGTATATTATTATGTCAAATTACGCATTAAAATTTCTCGCATACTATAAAGAAATCATAATTTACTGTTGCCAACAACTATTACAATGTATCTTGTTATTACAAACTGTCATAATTTTGGACAGATTTATCATAATTTTAATTCTAAATTTTGCCATCATTAAAACGTAACTAAATACAGTATTCGCAATCTGTAGTGTACTTACAGTCTAACAGCGGTAAAGGACATAGTAATTTTCATTCAGATAAAGTAACTAATACAAGGTAGTCATCTTATTAGATATCATCTGTGTCACTTTTCGTAACGAAGATTGTGCATAGGGATACTCTTGATTTAATCGATCGATTAAAGTATTTAATGACTGAGTCTTTTCATGTTGACGCTGCCATTCGTTATCAATACCTTCATGTGTCTTGCATAACATACGATATTTACCATCTTTTAATTCTTGGTAATATTTAACACGTTGTTGGCCTTCCAGAATTTCCGAAAAATTCTTATTTTAAATTAAATAAAAAAAGACAATTTTTAGATTTTACTTTTTAAACTAAGTTATGTAGTACTGTTATAAAAGATAATAATTCTTATAGCGTTATCTTCCATTTATAAGCTTAACTTAGCAAAATATTAGCTATTAAGAATATGTAAAGAGTTTTAAGATGCAGCAGCTGAATAGAGATACAATGATAAGGAATTATTGCTTTTGTGTATCTAATCATTAGAATGAAGACGTTTTTTTTGGTATTGAAGAGATTATGTGACAAAAATTAATTTATGTTAAAACTAATTTGTTTACAATTAAGCATCTTAATATAATATTGTTAAGCAAATGTCTGCAGCGTTCATAGATTGCAGAACATAGATTAATTAACAAGTTTGGATTATAATTTTTAGAGCGATTATTGTAAATTGTAAAATTTATAAACTGATCCTATATAAAGCCACTGTAAATTGATACTTATAACGTATATACTTTAACAATTTCGAATTTTGAGCATTATATATGGTTTCATTCTGATATTGAAAATATCAATTGATTAATTTTTCTTACCTTTTGCTTCATTTCAGCCATTTGATCTACATCTGCTTCAACTGCATCAATCGAACGCTGCAATGTATGGCATGATTCTTTTTTGCTTTCGAGACCTTGACTAAGTTGTACTTGCATTTCACGGTATCGTTTGAGCTCGCCATCACCATTTGCTACATCTTCGGTAGTTTTTTTGATTTTCTTTTTGATTTCAACTAAATTCTTTTGAAATGCTCTCTTGGTATTTTCATTACGTCCGGTCTTAGCTTGCGCATCACTGCGCGTTACAATACACTCACGTTTAAATACTGATTTCTCCATATCTTGAATCATTTTCTCTTGTTGTCGACATAATTGGCCATAGCGAACTTCCATACGATGAATTTCCATTTTCATTGCTTTTATTTCACCCTGACCGGTTTCAGAATCGACAGCTGCTCTCATCTCTTTAGCTAGTTGTGTCTTCTTTTCCCAAAGCATAATTTGTCGCTCAGCTTCAACAAGACTACTTAATAAACGCTCCTTTTCTTCATTTAACATTTGCAAATTATTATCCATTTCCATAGATGCTATCTCTGCTTCTTTTAATGCTTTGATAAATTCACTTTCCATTAGAATGTTGCTTTGTTCCATATCTTCACGTTGGTTATTTTTTTTGGATATTAACATATTTAATTTAATCATTTCATTGCGTAAATTGCGTGTGCTATGAGAGACTTCAGCAATTTCTTTCTCTTCACTTTGAATTTGATTCTCAATTCTTAATTTCTTCTGATTTAATACTGTAAATTGTTTTTTTAGTGATTCAACACCATCCCCTTGCTCTTCGCGCTCTTTAGTATGTTTTACTAATTCATTTTGCCCACGTAACCAGAATTGTTTCAGTTGTTCATTCTCTTGATGTAAGCTTTCAATTTGTTTTAATAATGTCTTAATTTGAATCTCCAGCGGGCCTAATTCCTCACCACCACCTTCACGGCTGCTTAATATCTTTTCAATTTTTTTATTTAATTGATCAATTTGAGTTTGCTTCTTTTCAATGGTGGCATTACTACCATTAACTGAACTTTCATATTTACCAATCAATTTATTCTTTTCACGTATTTCTTGGTTGTACTGATCTAATTGTTGATTTGATTTTTCAAGACGATTCTTACATTGAACTGTAGATAATACAGTATGACTGATTTCATTTTCGATAGCAGCAACTTCATTTTCCTATAGGAAAATTTGTGAAGATATAGCAAAAATTTGTCATCATACTGCAGCAAAAGTATAGCTTTTTGTTTCATAGTTTTGAGTAGTGAATAATGATATAGATACTAATATAAAATTGATAAATCTATCAGATGTATGAACACTTATTTAATAAAAATGAATTATCGTGATTTGCTTCTTACAATATTAAGATCTAAAAGTATAAAAATTTATGTACTCGTAATTCTAAATAATTACTGATGTTATAAGTATATGGCTTATAAAAAATATACCTTAGACATCAAAGTTTGCCTTATTTTACTGGTAACTTTTTTGGAATATTTTGAAGCTTTATCAATGGTCTGCCGCGAGTATAATTCCTTTTCAATTGCACTTTGCAATTTCACTTTGTCATCATAGACTCGCTCAATATTCTTTCTTAATGCGATTAAGTCATTATTCTTTAATACTACATCCTAAAAATAGTATGACATTCCAACATAAAGTAAGTTTAGTATTATTGCAAGAAATATTTTCGAAGTAAAGGTGACATTTTATACGTTAGTAACGTTTACATTGAAATTTTAGTGATTAACTTATTAAATTTACTATTAAAATGAGCGATCCAGCATTATCAATTTACATTAATCCTTAAAAGAGGACTTTGAGGCAGTTAACTTACCGCAGTAACTTTATTTAAGTGTTGCTCTATTTCACGCAGTGTTCTATTCATTTTGCTGTAATCAATTTTAACCGAGTCTAATTTTTGCTGACTAGTTGTAATTTGTTTCTTGACTAAGATTAGCTCAGCTTCGTTCTTATTATTTATTAACGTTAACCCTTCATTCTGTTTCTGCTCTTTTTCAATTGATTTTTTCGTTACAGCAATTTCAGTATCGTAAGCAAGTAATTGTTGTTGTTGTAGGCTATAAGTTTGTGTCAAGTTATAAATAAAGAATAGTTGGATTAGTTTATATAAAATGCAATTAGTTAACGAAAACTAATGTATTATTATTAGAATGATTGAAACTTTTCAATTTTATTTCCATCTATCGATGTAACTTTCAATTATAGCTTACTCGATTGCTTTACGAAGCCCAGCCAACGCTTCATCCCTTCTTCTTAACCCAATTAAGCTACTGTTCCACTGTTGCATCAGTTGTTTTTTTTCAAAGTTGATCGACTGAAATTAATAATTGGTTTTAAGTTATTAAGATAAAGATACTTTGACAGTAAAGTTGTGTTCGTTGCGGTGATAACTCTTCTTCCTCATGTGTACTAGTTACCTCAATTTCAGTTGTTGCATCAGAAACTAAAGTACGAGCAGCTTTTGTTTCCTCTGTTTGTGCTTTACATTGAGCTTCATATAGTCTAATTTTCTCTTCTTGTTTTTGTATAACTTCAGTAATCCGATTAATAAATAAATCCTAATCACGTAATAAAAAGAAATTGTTAACTTAATACGTCTGATTCTGTTACTGAATTACTAAATTTCTAAATTTCATAATTTACTTGTTGCTGCTTTTCTTCTTCTGCCTTACTGATTTCTTCATTGGCTTTTTCTGCTGCTCGCCTCATTACGGCGATATCGGATTTGATATCGCGTTTAGCATTCTCCATGTAAGTTAGTTGTGCTGCAGTTTTCTCCATCTCACTTTGCAATTGATCTCCTAAAATAGATCATTTTAATTATACGGTAGTAAAGATGTTCAGTAAAAATTATGGAATAAATTGAGTTATGTATCATCAGATATCAGGTAATTAAGTTATCTATAATAAATTACTTACGCTTTTGAATTAACTGATCCAGTTTATCGACTAGCTGTTTATATTGTTGTCTAGTTTCATTAAGATCAGTCTCGGACGCTTGTCTATTTTTGTATAGCTGATTAAAGTCGTCATGCTCTTTCTCTAATGAGGTTTGTTGTTTTGCCAACTCTTGTTGTAAATTGTATAGTGAAACACCTAATTCTTCGCGTTGTAATTTCTTCTTTTTGACCGTTTCTTGCTATTTAATGTAACATTCATAAGACAGAATCGTTATGCCACTAGGTACATTATTATAAATTATAACAATGCAAATTCTTTAGTAGCACCATCATGATAGTGTCCAACTGTTAATAGTTAACTTGTAGAAATACAATATTCATAAAAGGGAAAAGAAGATTTTTTAATTTAGCTGCTAGTTCTAACAATGTTTATCAAAACTTACCATTTCTCTTAGTTCAAGATTGACTTTTTCGTATTGCTTTGTTAATTGCTTCCTCAAAGCAGCTTGGAACCTTTTCATGAGAGGCTAGAATTGTATACCACGGAGATTTAATATAAGTTATGTAGAATGTTCCTTTTAATACTGTACACTGGTACTTTTACTACTTACATGATCAGGATCTAACACAATCATTTCACTCTGATCGTCTAAATCGTCATCATCGATGTTATCATCTTCCTCTAAGTCTTCGTCATCTCTGGATGGTTGATATTCCACTAATTCTGCACTACTTGGCTTGCTAGATTTATTAGCAAAATCAACACCGTCGTCATTTTCATTATCATCATTGATTGATTCTTCATCTTCATCGATAGTGTGATTATCCGTAAGGACAGTATTTGGATCAAATTGATGATACTCCTCTGCATCAGCATTATCTTCATTGGTTATGACAGGATCATCTCCATATTGATTATCGAGATTACCGTTACCCTGATTTAAATTCTCATCGTATTCATTTGGATCACTTTGGACTCGGTTATCAGCCATAATAAATCACTAGGCAATCCAATCTGATGATAGAAATTCTACAGTATTGCTACTCTAATTGAATGGAAATTGATCGTTTTCAATCTTCTACAGCAACAATTTCTAGTCGATGGATTGAAAATAACAGCTCCAGTTATACCAATTTCTACTCACAGTCAGTTAAATTGACGGTAATAGCCTTCCAATATGTGACGTATATGCTAGTCTATTTGAAAAGTAAAGGAATATGTAGTTGACTCAGGCCAAGTCCAGAGTGCCGACAGCACCGGGTCGATAGCTAGTGAAGATATTATCGACGTAGCTATGACAACGGATCATCATATCCTTTTCCAGTTTCATCCAACTGAGCCATTAATCGCTACAGTGGCAGACTGATCACAAAGGTGTTGAACCGAACCAAACCTTTCTGGTCTAGTGGCAGTACGCGTACACTACAGTGTACAGTATAAAGCTGTACTCGTACTGTACTGTACTGTACAGTACAGTACAATACCAACGTTAGTTCATAATACAGTAAAGTACTGTACACCTAGATGGTAAAACAGATGTCGTCAATTTAAGCCTTGATTGAAGTATAATATCAAGAAATGGTACGACATCTATTTTACACATTTTATCCTAACTATTCTGGCGGACGAAATGCAGCCGTATGACTAAAGCGCTTTTTAGTGTTTTACCGCGATAATCCGATTGGAAATTGATTTAATAAATTAATAACTCGTATTTCTTATGCTTTGAAATGAGCAATATTCACCAAGGATTTAAACTTGAAGAGTCAAATTATAATGACCGCATTTGGCCAAAATGAAGTCGTTAATAGTCTACAATAAATAGATAATTCGTTGTTTGGATTTATTTAAACGCGGTACAGTAGTTTAAACTATCCGCAAGCAACATCCACTGAAGATATTGCATATTGATAAGTATGTTTAAGACTTGATATCCTTAATCTTATAGTAGTCATGGACTTCTAGTATTGATAACTCAGTTGAAGTAAACAAACGAATAATCGATTCAGTTTTTCAACATATAGAAATAAAAAAATAATGATCAAGTATTTCTGAAGTTTGGTGCCAATTGCACACATGGCAATTCATGTTCAATTTACAGTAGCCGTTATAAAATAATGTTTAATACGAGGATCAGGTGCTGCATTCTCTGCTTTTCTTACGAATAAGTGGAATCTAAAAGTAGTTCGACAGATGATTACAAATGATTCTCATGTTACAGCTAGATGTAAGTCTTTATGTATGCATGTTGCTGTCGTTTACATATTCGCGCATTTTACAAGTATGCAAAGTAGCCGCACCCTTTCGAATCTGAATCTCATCATTACTAAACTATAACACATTCTGACTTTTACAAGTTTAATTATCTATATATAGTGAGCATGACTATAGTGAGCATTACCACCAAAATGAACAACTTTCTAAAGAATAGTATTAATTTCTTATCTAACCAGTATTCAGTATTAAAAATAGCTTTAGGTGCATACAAAAAATGGCTTTTCAGTAACGAGCATCGGATGCAGTGTAGCTTTGCTACCCACCCATATTTCAACGGCTCATGAACCGAAATTTCTGGGGAGTGAATAAGATCTTACGGAACAGATATAATCTTTACTACCTTTGTAAGATTTTTGGGGGTGTTTGTTTCATTCGTTGAGGTGGTCTAGATTCCTTACGTGAGCAATAAAGAATTCAACACAAACTATATTTTGTTTTAATGCGCGTTGGGCAATTATTGCAGTGAAATGGATCATTGTAGTGCACATACATTATCTGCCTTCCTATATCCTGCTATTGATCTAAGATCATCATTTTGAAGGCGTTTAAATTTAGTCCAGGCTTGCCATGTTCAATATTTACTATCCAGTTATAAATTCAAAATATAGCACCACCGTAAGGTTACTTCTATCTTATCCTGCATTGACGAGATCTTTTGCGTAACAACTAAGACGACGTCAGAGAGCAGAATCACGAAGTTATGAAAGCGTGATGAAATCTGGTTATTATGCACGGGATATTATTGATCGAACTGTATTAATTTTTGGCATATCACTCTTATTCCACGTGATAATTTTGCTTATAAAGGTTTGGCAAAGCCTCAGCTTACGATTGCTTGCTTACCTCCTAATCCGGCAAATAAGGATACTTTGTGACAGCTTTGGTTATTTGCGTTTATGTATTGATTTGTTGATTTTATGACGTAAGTATTTTTTATAATTGACACGCTTTGATAGGGCATTTTTATTGCCTAAATGATACTCACATATTAGGTAATAGCGATATTATTTAGAACGACAATAATTTTTTCGTTTAAAAGCTATCAAAAAGTTTCATTTAAATGGCGCGGTAATCCATGATTGAGGAAATGAACGCAATCACAGCTAGCTTAAAGTTTCTTTTATCGAATAGTGATGAAAAGTTTAACGATATCTTACCTACTAAAAATATTTTTATCTTTTTCAACTTTAACTTTCATCTTGAAGGTGTCCTAAAAATTTTACCTCAAGAATGAATCAGTCACAGGACGGACTATACCGTCTATAATAGGATAAAATCTCGCACGATGTTGACTGTAAAGTTGACGGATTCAAAATCAAATAAAGTACTGTGAAGCCCTCAAGGAGTAGATTTAAACGCGTGAGAACAGCAAACCAGCCTTCTTTTTCGCCGATCGCTGATATAATAACAGCCTCTATCGCTGCAGATATTTCTCGGCAAATACCAACCACCATGCTGAAAATAGCTTCAATTGTAAGTTTTCGTAATTTTTAAATCTCAATTTCATTTTAAATAGCGACTAATATTTCTGATTTATTCACTATAATCGATTGCGATATTGACAATCTTTATATCTCTATCAAGCTTGTTATAATTTTAGGTTCGAGTTTGCTATGTCAGGCAGGATATGGCCACGGCAATGATCAATATGATCATCAGGGCGGGCATGGCTATGGCGGTTATCATCACAATTCGCATTGGTCATACGATTCATATCCTCCAGGCTGGGTTTATGATGATTATTATCATCACCACAAGGGTAAAAGTAAGTTCTGTATTTTTTAATAGCAAGGTAGATCTCTAACTGTATTTCTTTTGTATCTCCGCATTCTTTAAATTTTTTTATCTAAAGTTAATAATAATATAGGATCTAACAATAAATTTACTTTAATAAAAACTGAAGTAATCTTTTTGGAGGCTGTCAGACTATACAGTATACTAATTAAAAACGACAGTAAACTATATTTCTAACTGGTTTTAAACTGAATTCTACTTTGAAATCAATAGAAAATTGGTTTTGTGGAGCCGACGAATTTTGGCCGTTAAGTAAATTGAAGAACGGTAAAACAGTTGAGAATGTCTGCGGTCAATATGATGGTACAGCTAAACACTATGCTGCTGTTTTATGGCCATGCCCTCCTCAACCGGGTGGTATTGGTACAGATGGCCAAAGCTGGGTGCATCTTGGTGAATATACCAATGAATGTTTAGGAAATTTATCACTTTGTACTAACGGTTTAACCGTCAGTTTATGGATCAAGATGATCGCACGATATGGTTATCATAATGATGGTTATTATGTTAGTGCTGGCGGATTAAAAGATTTTTTTAGAATCGCATTATTTTCCGGCAAACACCCCTACTTTATTGCTTCCGTTGGCAATTTTATCTACTACTCCACGATTCCGTCTAGAATTATAGGCAAATGGGCTCATGTTCTTTTTACTTTTAACGGACTTAAAAAATTTCGTCTTTTTGTGAACACAAAAGAATGTGAAGTTAGCCGATACCATTACGCTCCATCGCATTATAATTTTACTAAATTTTTACTTGGGCGATCGATTCACCATAAAACAACGACAAATGCTAAATTTAGCCAAGTTGCTGTATGGTATCGTAAATTAAATTGGCATGAAATATGCAAGGTTTATCTTGGATCAAGAAGTAAGTTTTATATTCAAGTCTTTCCTAGATTATCCTTAGAATAAACATCTCGGATGCAATGACATTCTAATATTCTCCGTAATAGAAACCTTGAAGAACTGTCAATCATGGTATAAGAAAATTGAATGTGATAAGGAAACATCGTCTATCATTCCACAGCCAAGTACTACTTCTATCGTTCAACCGATATCAAGTCGAGAAGATGGTAAATAATGGATTGTATTTTTGTCTACGCTTTTTTTGTAGTTATTTGTGATAATGTAAAGATTTTGCCTTGATGGATAGTATGAATACTCAGTAAATAGTATAATATGCGCGCCTAATTTACGAATATGTAGAATGAGTTTACATTCATTTTTTTTTTATCATTGAGTAGAGATTACAAGTTCCATAGAAAGTTCAAGCGTTATTTCAAGTATTATAACATCATCTAGCGTACCAGAAACCTCTAGCGTACCGACATCATCGTCTACCTCGACTTTCATATTTAGCAGATCAGTTTCTACGGTATCAAGCAGAAGGATGACGACTACTAGAGTGGAATCACTGGTTATATCTTCAACTCCTGTGGAAATTACTACTAGTGTTGAATCAAGCGAATTTATCGAACCTTCTACCACGATCGTCGAAGAAAGCGAAATATCATCATTTGAATTTGTCAGTAGTGAAATCTCTTCTGAGATAGAAAGTTCTTCTGAGGTAGAAAGTTCTTCTGAAGAAATAGAATCAACAACGGCCGTTTCATCAAGTCAAGAAATAACTAGTGAAGTCTCGAGCACAATTGAAACGATAAGCGTTGTTTCATCAGAAATAACTAGTCAAATCTCGAGCATAATTGAGACGACAAGCGTTGTTTCATCATCTTCTATTGGTACAAGAAGCAGCGTAAGCAGTTCCGATGTTGTGCAAAGTACATCCGTTCTTTCAAGTGAAATATCAAGTATTTTAGAAAGCGAATCTGAATCTTTAGTCTTTTCCTCAGAGGAAAGTGAAGAATTTCTTACTAGTACCGAAACATCTGTACCAGAAATTGTTACTACTGTTGTTACTAGCTCAGTTAAGTCAGATATTCTTTCGACTTCTAGTTTTATCGAATTGGAAAGTTTATCTACTGAGCCACTTGAAAGTTTGTCAAGTATCTGTATTCATTCAACGAAAACAGTTTATACCACTACTACAATTTCAAGAACTGTCATTAGCTGTCCACCATTGATTGAAACTTTAACAAAAACTACAGAAGAATTAGTCTTCACTTGTCCCTCTGTTTGCCCAAATTTTGGCTTAACTACTAAACTACCACATGTCATACAGACATTGTCTCCAACTTCTTCTATTAGCATTTGATCCTTATGATCTCTTGCCTTAGTCGTATATTTAGTTATATTTAGTTTAAATGGAATTAATAAAGTAGCTTCAAATAAAATTATTTACGTGCTTATTAGTCGTTGACTTACGGGAAGGATAATACCATAGACTGTTACTTGCTAGTTGCTGCAAGTATCCACTATTATTTAATTTAATTAGTCGTTCATATTTTGATTGTTTTATCTACAGTCGTGGATACTTGATATAACTAGCAAGTAACAATCAAAATATGAACGACTAATTAAATTAAATAATTATATTCTGTATAACATATCTATATAACTATAAACTGATAATCATGATATAACTAAACTGGTGTGTCTGTCTTTAACTAGTTGGATAATCAATTGTATAGTACAAACTATAACCATCGGATAACTTACTTTAGCTTCGCATACTTGAGGAATAAATTACTTTGCAAGTCAATATTACTTATACCTATTTTAATGAGGTAAAATGCTAGCTTGCTAATATAGCTCGATTATATAAATGATAAATGTTATCGATATCATTACTAAATCTGATAAATTACTTTAAATACAGCTATTACATTATCAAATCTCATCAAGTTTAGCTTAAAAATAAGACCCTTCAGGTATGATGATAGATTGGCAGAGAGTAGTAGAAGAGAAAATGAACGGCTATGATATTCGTTAGGTGTAGTTCTTTATTATATCTCTCATCAATACTGTAGAGGCAAGTTACCCTAATGCACGCGAGAATACGTTTAAATCTACTTTATACAACATCTACTGCATTACATATCAACAAAGTATGACAGCCTAGAATGTGCTAACATATCTAAAGTTTACACACATACTTTACTGAGATAACATTTTATAGATAGGTAATATCTGTCTCATACTATGATAGGTATTACGTTCTGTTTATTTGTCAGTAAAGGTGCCGGCATCACAAATACTAAAGTCAATACAATTATTTACCTACACGAGATAGAAAAGCACTTGAAAACATAATTAGAGTTGGCAAACTACACGAGTAGTTACTATAATAAGAACTGGTAATGCCATCGTAGCGTTTATATAATTGTAGAATTGTCTTTAATACCTGTATACATAATGGAGTATCTAGCTTATCAAAATACTGTTTAAATTATTTAATCGTCCTTTACTGAAATAGTGCTGTCATGGGCACAAGTTATCATACGATGTAAAGGTGTTATTAACCTATCCAGTATAAATATACAAATTATGAATCTGGGGTACTTGCTGCAGTAGAAGACGAAGTCTTCTTCAAAGCTGAGTACAGCAAACCAGATGTAGCAGCTACAGAACGAATAGGCTGTGCTGCACTGCTGCTACGCTCATCCGCCGATGCCTGAGTATTCTCGTATGTATATCCTTTTTTGGCATGCTATTATGGAAGAGTTGCTAGATTAATAACGATAAAGTAATGTCAATTTAGCACATATCACCTTTTCGTATCCTGCATCCGACAATGAAGGACCTAGAAGCACCAGCAGACCAGCTTACTTTTTTTTTATTACTAATCCAGCAACTGTGTTAACCTACAGCAGTTTTAGAGCATTTCACTCTTTATTAGCACAAGAAATAAAATTGAATATACGTATAATCAAATTGCTTTTACTTTGTATTTTTATTACGTCTTATCAATTCATTTGCATCCTAACTCTGGAAAAATCTTTCTCCTTATGCTTTTTTGGATATTTTTGATCAAATTTTATTGTTGTCTGAGTTCAGAGAGAAAATTTATCCAGTCACTAGTGAAAGATGATCCTATGTCTAGTTTCTTTTTATCATAGATAAATATATGATGTCTAGTTTTTTTTTTATCATAGATTAATATATGTTTATTAGCATTTGAAAAAATACTATGCAAACCATTGTAAGTGTGATGAGAATACAGCCATAATACAGTATACTTGGCTCATGCTCATAAATACATCCAATTACTACATTAAATGAAATGTTAATAGGAGTTTAATTGATGTTGTTTTAGCAGGTATAATTTTATGTGCCCATCATTACCATTCAAGTAGATAGCACAGTCTCGAATATGTGTGTAATATTTTGGGGATCATATGAATTTATCATATTCTCAATTATTGTTATGAATGAAATGAAGTTGATTTGATACATATTTATATTTGATTTATATCGTTCTTCGGTGGCATGATGGTATACTGTGCGTACATCATTACTATTCAAATGGATAGCATAGTCCATAATATTATGCAATAGGTGGCCTATACTCACAATTTATACTCCAATATCGTTAAAATACGCATACAGTATTTTTGGGCTCTTATTCACGATAATCTATCTTAATTACTGTTATGAATGAGATGGAGTTGATTCAATTTATATCGTTCTTCGTGCAGTGCTATTCGGGTGGATAGCACAGTCCATAATGGTCTATATTCATGATTTATGCTCAATTTTAATGTTAGAAAGAGATAGAAGTTAAACTACGGTCATTCTTCCCGGTCTGTTGCTAACACTAGAATGTCTCGATCATGGAGATTTTTCTCCTCGATCCTGGCAAGTGCGCAAATCTATTGTCACTTGTCATCTCATACAAGGATGAGATAGAAAAAGAAAAATAGACATTTTAGCTAATCCTTGGTCACCATTTTCAGTATGATTGTAGACGAAGAGACTCAATAAGATGACATTCATCGTTTACATACTACTGCACTTGGATTGCATTTTATATCCCACGTCTTCCATTCCAATTATTTCCTGAAATGTCTCAAATGATACAATTTGCCAGACCTTTCAGTCAAGATTGTAAGACTTTGGCTATCCAATCGGATAGGATTCTACTTACTATAGGAATTAAGAAATAATACTCGACTCTCGGGTGCTCTGCTCTAATGGATTCTGCAGCATGGAGTTTTTTTCCCTCCTCTATAGTATGTAGCATGTGAAGCATCCTGCTATACCTACAGTATGCTATCGGTCCAAGTTTCCGGTGACTTCTTGCCTACAGTAGTCTACTCTTAGACAGTATACTACGGTAGCATAAGCTATCCCGTTCAACGTAATTGGGCCATCTCCGTGGTTACTGCCCTTATTTCGACATCTTTTGGGGGCTTTTCCCACTTGCAATAATAACTGACGATATTAGTTTATTCTATTGACTGTCTTGTAGGCACGTTAAGCATTTACAGCAATTCTACCGACTATCCTTTGTCCCTTTGGCGTGAACTGACGATAATATCTGTAGAAACGTTGGACATTGCAGTGTTGTCATTGAGATTTGAATTCTGGTCAGCCATTGAAGATTAAGGAATGATCCGATTATGTCATCCAATCGATTAAATCAACGTGTTATTACCGAAGATTTAGTCAGGCATGAGCTTGACGATAAATTTGCCATTGTTGTTGCCAATAGCTTTGATACAGATAACAGTGATGAAGATATTTCCGATGAAAATTCTGATCACTACCATCTACAAAATGGCCAAGTGATAGCAGCTTGGTATCCAAACGGTGAAGAAGAAGTTATGGATGAGACAAAGGTAGGTCGACTTGTTTATCGACACTGTATTGCCTAGGGATGATCTTTGGTAAGGATATACCTTACCAGTTGTTCAAGCTTAACTTTTTAGAGGAGGAGAGGCAATAGATTTGCAATTATCCATACCTACTGCATATTCATGTTATTGATTAATGTCATCTCTAACTGCGTTTCTAGAAGATAATGACCAAACTGATTCTATTGCCTACTATTTCATGATAGCACGCAAACTCTTTCCCACTATAACATTCGACAATTTATTTTACGGTGAAAAGTGATCTTACAAATTTAAAATAGTTAAATTGGGCCATCATCTTATAATATAATAAAAGAAATAACGCCGGTACAGTTCTACACGTCTAGTCGATATTGATTATAATTGACGGCTAAATATCAATCGTATTGCCTGCCAACATACTGAAAGAATGAAAAGATATTTCCAGTTAAAGGAAATCAATTGTTACTTTATGGTATATTGATGTGGACTAGTAGACAAAATAGATATTCTACTCATGTAGAGTAGATATCGATCGAAATAGTCGATTAAACTATCAACTGTAGTGCCTATCATCACCTAGAAAGGACAAATATGAAAAGATATTCCCAGCTAAAGTAGATAAATTGGCCGAAGGTAGTATACGATATAGGAGTACATTAAAAGAACCATCAATATAGCTTTTTTATTCTACGCTATAGTGATGTAGATTAATGGATATGACACTCGTAGAGTAGATATCGATCGAAATAATCGACTAAATATCAATCCTACTGCCAGCCTTGATATAGAAAGGATAACGATGAAAAGATATTCCGGTGAAAAGTAGATGAATATTCTTACACTAAGGCATATTGATGGCATCATTTAATGTAGACTCATGGCTTTATACTCGCATTGTACGTATTGATTAATCGAAATAGATGACTAATAATATCAATCTGATCACTCGTCATCATGCAGAAGGATAAAGACGGATGATATTTTTTGATTCAAGTGGATGAATTAGGTGATGGTTGTATATAGTATAAAGAACAAAATCTGTACAGTATACAAGTACGTATTTACATCCCTGTCCTCTTGATATAGATTGATAGCGTTATATTCGTAGAATAGACGATTTTACAGAGCACCTAGACTGTTGATATTATTCCGTAAAATGGTTATGGATCGAAACAGGCCTTTACACAGTAGTCATTTACTCTTATCAATCCTATTGCTGGACATCATGTAGGAAGTACTATGATGGATGATATTTCCAGTTAAAGTAGATGAATTGGGGATGGTTGTACAGTATATTAAAGGAGACCAACATGTATTCAACATATATGAGCGCATTTAGACTGCTGGCATGATACGAAAGATATCGATTGAAATGGGCAATTAGATATCAATCCTATTGCCAGATGTTATACAGGAAGAGTAATGATGAAAGATATTTCCCGGTAAAAGTACAGTAGATATATTAGGTGATAGTTGT